ATTCTCAGTCGTATCGAAAAAATCCAGCGTTGACAGAACCGAATGACTGCATTAATTGCTTGGTCGTTCAGCAAAATAATGAAAAAAGGGGAAAAAGGAAATAATGAACACCCTGCTGAAAGAGAGGAGGAAATTTTAGTAGTCCTTATCACTGGCGGATTATGGAGCACGGCAATAACGCCATGATGTGGAGGCGGCAAATTTCGGAATAAATGTCTACATTTTTTATTATACACGTGTGTAAGGATCTATTTGATCGAGGGGTGTTTTTTGGAGTACTTGGTTTTGTAAAGCCAAAAATTCCTCGAAAAAGTCGTCGCCAAGTTTGATGGTTCGAATATTATAAGGAAAATGTGTAAACAGATGAATCGGTACCCCAATTGTAAATATGATCATAAACGATTTCTATATAGTTCCTCGATACACATAGATCAGGTTTACAGTAAAAACAAGTTAGTTTGAATGTCGTCTTCCCAGATCAAACAAGCTATAATACGAAAAGATAAATTATAGTCGTTAAATTTTTCGTAGAACTAAATAGAAAGGATTCAACGTTTAATTTAGTCACGAAAATGGATAAAATTAAGAAATCAGAAGAAGTTGTCTCAAGTGAACCCGACGTCGTAGTTTCGAACGACAAACAACACATTTCTGACATTTGTCAGATCGTATTTACACTAGAATCAAAAATGATAACACATCGAGACACGATTCACAATGATCAAAAAATTTACGGATGTGACAAGTGCGAAATGAAATTCGAGTTCCGAAGTCATTTAAGTAGACACCAAATATCAGTACACAAGAGCCACAAAGATTTTGTATGCGACAATTGCGGGAAGAAATTTGTAAAAAAATCGAGTTTGTTTACGCATCAAAAATTAGTACACAAAAGTCGCGAAGATTTGACGTGCAGAAAATGCGAGAAGAAATTTGAAAGTCAATCAACTTTACTCAAACACAATAAGATATTCCACGAAGTTTTTAAAGATTACTTATGCGAAAAATGTGCGAAGAGATTCGGAAGTAAACATACTTTGCTCTCACATATAAAAGCAGTTCATGAGGGTTGCAAAGATTACTTATGTGACAAGTGCGGAGAGAAATTTAGAAAAAAATCGAGTTTGTTCTTTCACCTAAAGACAGGACACAACGTCTTCAAAGATTACTTATGTGATCATTGCGGGAAGAAACTTGAAAATGAAAGAAATTTGCGCATGCACATAACAACAGTCCATGAAGGTCTCAAAGATTTTGCGTGCGACAAGTGTGAGAAAAAATATAGACAAAAATCGTATTTGATCGATCACCAAAATACAGTCCACGAAGGTCGCACAGATTACACATGCGATGAGTGTGAGAAGAAATTTACACAAAAATCGAATCTGCTTTCCCACCAAAAGACAGTACACGGCGGTTGCAAAGATTACTCATGTGACAAATGCGAAAAGAAATTTGGACGAAAATGGATTTTGTTTCAGCATCAAGAGACAGTCCACGAAGGTCGGAAAAATTACGAATGCGACAGTTGCGAGAAGAAATTTGGACGAAAATCGGATTTACTTTTACACCAAAAGATAGTCCATGAGGGTCGTAAAGATTTTGCATGCGACAAATGTGAGGAGAAATTTGGATATAAACAGCATTTGCTTGTCCACCAAAAGACAGTACACGAAGGTCGGAAAGATTACGCATGCGATAAATGCGAGAAGAAATACGGACTCAAATGGATTTTGCTTGTACATCAAAAGACTGTACACGAAGGTCGGAAAGATTTTGTATGTGACAAGTGTAAGAAAAAATTTGGACAAAAATCGCATTTGTTTCGGCACCAAAAGACAGTACACGAAGGTCGCACAGATTACGCATGCGATAAGTGTGAGAAGAAATTTTCACAAAACTCGAATCTGCTTTCTCACCAAAAGATAGTACACGCCGGTTGCAAAGATTACTCGTGTGACAAATGCGAGCATAAATTCGGAGAAAAATCAAAATTAGCCAAACATCAAAAGACAGTCCATGAAGGTCGGAAAGATTTCTCATGCGACAAGTGCGAAAAGAAATTTACAGAAAAAAAGAGTTTGTTCAAACACGTAAAGACCATTCATGAGGGTCGGAAAGATTACATATGCGACAAGTGTGAAAGCAAATTTGGACAAAAATCGAGTTTACTTAGACACCAAGAAGCAGTTCACGAAGATCGTAAAGATTAGACATGGGACAAATTCAAGAAAAAATTTGGATAAATATGGCATTTAATAAGAGCGAAAAGAAATGTGCGATTCAAGGCTAATTGAATCGACATCAATAAATGATGCTCCTTATATGAAAAGACTACGCATGTGACCTTTGGCGATATAAAATTTGGATGTAAATCAGATTTTTTGAAACACCAGTTGACAATCCAAGTTTAAGTTGACACCGAAAATCATTTATATAATTCTCAGGAACTACGTACCGGACAGTTCTCGAAGTTTATTAAGATTCTTTAGTGATAAATATTTGCACCATTTTCACGTCAAATGATAATCCAGTTTTTATTAATAATTTGTTCATTATACCAATTTTTCGAACGCATTGCAGTCATATGTTCCTTCACAATGTTCCTTCGAAAAAAAAAAAACAGAAAAAAAGTTATTCGTTTTGGTACGGAGGGATTTCATAACGCGCATGGAGCTCCGCTAAATATTTTTTCGACAAATTCGAGTGATCTCTCGCTGGTCCGTTTAAGTTACTTTCCAATTATATAATTTGTATATTTGCGCGATCGAATCGTCGTCAAAGCGTGTGTGTATGTGTATATAATCGTTTCTCACGATCCACCTTTAAAATCTATCGATCGAAATTTTATACTTGAATATAAGAAACGTTAAAGTGCGCTGTAACGAAACTGAATGCAAAATAAAATTATCGAAAACTTCGAAACTCGAGAGCGACTCAATGCATACACTGGAGGGCGCTTTGAGAGCGCATCGCTGCACAGTATACTATAGATACTGTATATGTAAGGTACAAACATTAAAGATCTTTCATAGAAACGTTTTCATCGGTTGGCAACGCGCAAGAAGCATGTCTTTGAATATAAAGCTCGTAATCGAAACCTTTCGAGCTGTATGTGCGCGCGCGGGTTAACGTAACTTCTTTGATCTCGCGAGCGAAAAATGTCGAGCTTCATCAATATTTAATATTTTTTCTTCATCTTAGTGAAAAAAAAAAAAATATTATTTATCGTGAAAGCTTCAGCGATAGCTAATAAGTATATACTAAGAGGTAATGTTTTTTTTTTCGGTTACAAATTATGCATCAACGAGCTTTTTCCGTAATTCGTATACGAGGTCGACTCCGAGAATTTGCTCTTTAAAAACAATTATCGACCGTTTCATCAAGTAAACAAATAAGTATCTTCGACTCGAGTAGATATAAAAATAAAAACGAGCGAAGAACGTTGCGCACGTGCAACCCAACTGTCACCGTTCCGCGACTGACTCGCATATCGGTCAATTTCGAATACCTAATCCATCTCGCGTAAAGCCCGCTTATAGCAATCGGTAAGTATACATCTTCCTGTTTAAGTCGTATTCAATGCGAGAAGTATACGTACGCATTTAAATATAAGAAAAAAAAAAACGGAGAGAAAGAGAGAAAGTAAGTAGTACCGTAAAGTGGGAAATGGAGTCGACGTCATTGGGGCGCATCTCTCTACCCTCGCGCTCGTGAGACTCGAGGATATCTTCCTTCGCGTGTATACAAACGAGCAATTCCACGATTTACCGGCCAAATTTTTTAATAGAAACGCGTCCAATTTTTTATTCAATTGGACCCTTGTAACCATCGTTGGTTGTTGTTCTTGCAGGGATAGAAAGTTATAAAAATGAGTCAATCATTACAATTCTATTAGGAAAAAGCACGTTTTTTTGACATTTAACAGTGTTTAATATGTCCGCAATCACTGCTCTCACTCTCTACTCGACTTAATCACTTAAAAATTTAAGGAAAAATCCTAGTAATACGAGCAAATAAATTACACTTGAAAGGTACTGCGCGCCAAAAATGAAGATTTTACATTTGAATTTTCTTTTAATTTTATACATAACATGAAGCAAACTTTTTCTTTAATGAATATTATTTGAAACATTTAAAGTTGAGTCATTCAATTTTATATTCCATATAAGTTCTCAAATGTTTCAGATAATGTTTTAGGTATCATAATATAACACGAGCCATTTGAAAATGATTCACTGAAACTTCAAAAAATAATATATTTTTCTCTTGAATTATAATTAAAATAATACATTTTTGTTAAACACAATTCAATACGTGGAGCAGGCATTCGAATATCGACATTTCCGCGGCTAATGAATCTTGAACTTGCCAAAGGCATGCGCGCGCACTAATGACCTCTTGCAGACTTTTTCAAAAGCAAAAATCTACTTTATCGATCTAAAAATGAAATAATATCCTGCAGTGACAAACATATATAGTAAGCTGAATTAACATTGTTACTTAACTTTATGAGTTATGAAAAATTCGAGAAGTGCATGGAAAATTCAAGTACTCGTGCGCACGAGTCGATTACACCGCTTTAACAATTTCAATAATTTAAAATGTAACTTTTTTATTGAAGTAATGAATTTAAAACTAAATAATAAATAAATGCACGAAGAAATGTAAGAACCATAGCAATACAGAGTCTTTAATGCGAGAAAGTTTATATCGCGTTTTTCGGTGACTCGCTACCGCTCGAGCGTTTAACGTGCGATTTATATCGTAGTATTTTTAATTCAAGAAATATATTTTATGTACGTGGCTGAATAACAGCAGCTGTAGCAGTACAGCAGACGTGTGTAGTGTGTACAGCAAGAAACAAGCAGCCGGAGAGAGGGAAACCCATACGCTCGCCGGCGCCGAGCTTCGGATTCCACCGCTAGAGGTCATAATTCAATCCAAACGTAAAAAATTAAAGTTCTGTAGTTAAATGTGACTAAAAACTAAGCATCAGCATCGCTTCTCGGCCTTTTGGCTAAGATCAAAGTGTAGTATCTGTTCTTATTAGCTTGATATCTAATACGAAGCCTATATGGCTTCTAGCATATCGAACTGATTTTTGAAACTCGGCATGGCGCCTGGGGCTTGCTCCGGCCTTGCCACGGGTCTTCTCTGCATTGCAGTACCGCAGAGTTAGGCCCAATAATCTCAATACAAACATAATTAACAGCTCTAGAAACTGTGTTAAACACAGGACTTTTCGAAATGTGTAAATAATTTACACCGGCGTCCGAAAAAAGTCGAAAAATCGACCGCACGAGGTCCACATCGACTTTACGCCTATACGTGTTTTTTGAACAAGTAAATGCCTGGTGTTAATGTCGTATAGTGTCTTTGGTAGATACATTATAACAGTCTTTTTTCAGATATTCACGAAGTCGTCACTTTACCCAAGAATTTATTTGCCTGCGTAGCATAACCGCGCGCCCGTATATACTCTACGTATTAAAGTTTATTAATACACCTGCTTCTAATTAGTTCACACTTTAGTGAAATAATAAATAAATAATATTACAATAAAACCCAAATACTCCTCTTTACAAATATTAAATAATACATTACACTTACGAATGCGCGAAGTGAGTGATTCTCAATGAATTCAGTTTGATGCCCGAGCGTAGCGAGGGTTCAAACTGGATTCGTTGACAATCACTCACTTCGCGCATTCGTAAGTGTAATGTATTATTTAATATTTGTAAAGAGGAGTATTTGGGTTTTATTGTAATATTATTTATTTATTATTTCACTAAAGTGTGAACTAATTAGAAGCAGGTGTATTAATAAACTTTAATACGTAGAGTATATACGGGCGCGCGCTTATGCTACGCAGGCAAATAAATTCTTGGGTAAAGTGGCTACTTCGTGACGATATGTAAAAAGCCCATTATAATTTCTCCTTATTCCTATTATAGTTTTTCAGAAAAATATAATGTAACGCGCGGACATATTCCGTACTACGCTTCATATAATATTTCCATGCGTACCCCTGGAATTTGCACGGCCCAAGATCTTGGGATTGACCGCGTGTGTTACCGCCGCCGCTGTTGCTGCCGCCGAAAAGCGTACAGCAACTACATGCTCGAGCATGCGACTGCATGATTGTGCCGCTACGTTTTTCGGCAGCAGCAGCAGTGGCGGGGGTAACGCACGCGGTCAATCCCAAGATCTTGTGCCGTGCAAATACCAGGGGTACGCAATACGCATGGAAATATTACATGAAGCGTAGTACGAAATATGTCCATGCGTAGCGCTTCGGAAACATTTTTCTCTCCGAGTAGAACCCTACACGCTTGTATCAATTTGTTTTGCTGCGTATCACGGGTCGATGTCAAAATTGTTTACGTTTGTACTGCTTACAAATAAGAGACGGATTCGTCTGTTTATATGTTGTCCTTCCTCTTTTAATAGCTTATAACCCATCAGTGAAAAAAATGAAAAATATTGATTTTTCTGAACAATTATAAATTTATAAAGAAACTTTTATGGATGTACGAGTGTAAGCTTTTTCAAAATTGAAATAAAAATTGTATCAATATGATTGTGTCTTTTTTGAACTTCGGGTTATCAACTGTTATTATACACCTTCTTTCACTTTTGTGCAGGTGCTTCATTTTTTAACCATACTATTGCTAATTACTACACTTCGTGCATTTATTTTATTTATTTAGTGATGCTTAGCTGATAGTTATTTTATGGCTCGTCTGCAACTTTGAATGGGGCAAGTGTTAATTGACTATTGTTTTTTTTTATAGACGTTGGGTAATGATGTGAGACCCCTAGACCTCTTGTTTTTTTTAAAAATAAGAATAATTTACGGACATTTGAATTTCAGATTGCCTCAACACAACTACACAGCTAGTTCAAAAACATCTTATTTTTTTGTACGCATAAAATTCAAACGAACGTTGTACTCTTATTAGATTGTCATCCATATAATCTATATAGATTCAGACCTTTTAAGGTGGCTAGTCAGTAATCATAACAATAGTACAGCGAGGCGTATATGTCTGTCTCTTTCTCGCATTAGACAGGCAACCGTTCGCACTATTCAAAATCAATGATTTTGCGCACATTTTGTTTAATTACTCATTAGTTAGTTCGATAAGGGGTAATTTTTAATACACGAATCGAAAGGTAGTGACTTGAAGCATAACATACTCGTTTTTAGTTAAGATCTGTTGTTTAACAAAAAAGTTATGGCATAAAATGTATGAAAATATGATGGCCTCCCATAAGAGCCCATGTTAAATTTGCTATTTTCAACGGCTTCGTTTTCAAAAATTAGTTCGAACCCATGCTGAAATTTCTACAGCATATCAAGGGCACTTTAAATGACATTTCTGCAAAGTTTCATAAACATCTGTTGTCGACCCATTTTACTGACTAGCCTCCTTAAATCCGAACGCAATTCTATAGCAAAGTCGAAATTCAGCCCGCTGCGAGTCTCCGCGCGAGCCACGCGATGATCTACACAATTAACACGAAGTCGCCGTTCCTACAGGATTCTCCCGACGGACAGAATTTTGTAATTTGTTTCGATATCGTCGAAAATTTTGTACTGACACTTGAAAATGTTATAGTGCATATCGATGTAGAATTTGCTCGGGAATTAAATGGCGTGAAACTGTGTGCTCCTTGCATTTAGGCGTACAGACGAACGGCGCATATAAATACACGAATATAAACATTATAAAATGCATTACACATGCGTCGAGTAATTGGGTATATCTAATTGCAACACAAATGCGATGCATTCGAACACCCGCGTGTGCTCCGACTCTCGCGGCCTGAGATTACGTCATGTTTTCTTCCTTCGCCACATACACCTACAAAACATTTCTCTTTTATCCGTCACGGCTATACTCGAAAATAAATGGAGACAAGGTAGTGACAATTCTTTGCGCTCGTGGCTTTTTGAGTCCTTAGTAACCATTATTATGGTCTGTTGAATGAAACTGTCACGGCAATGGGATATCCTTCGCGACAAAAATCGGTATGTAAAGTCAATTGACCGAGATTCGAAGGGTCCTCATCAGTGGCGGATTATGGAGCACGCAAATAACGACATGGTGTGGGGGTGGCAAATTTTGGAATAAGTATCTACATTTTTCATTATACATGTGTGTAAGAATTTATTTAATCGATTTTTTTCACGTGAACTCAATGTTGTCTGTGGGGTTTTTTTTGGAGTACTTCGTTTCGTTAAGCTAAAAATTACTCGAAAAAATCGTCACTAATTTATCGTTTTAAATTGTTTCAAATGTCGTAAGAATAATGAATATGAACAGATAAATTCGGTGCCTTAATTGTAAATAATAATATTATAATTGAAGACTAATACATAACTTATCATGTTTACATTAAAAACAAATTAGTTTGAACGTTGTCCTTCCTGGTGAAACACGTAATAACATCGAAAGATAAACTTTACTTATTCAATTTCCATTGTAATAAATAAAAACTAACTAAATTATTCAATTTAGGCAAAGAAATGGATAAAAGTGAGAAGAAATCCGAGAACCTTGTCCCTAAAGATAATTCAAGTGAACACGACATTGTTTTCTTTGACGACAAACGACACGTTTGTGACATTTGTCATGAGGAATTTACACTGGAATCGAGCATGATAACGCACCGAAACACAATTCACAATGGACAAAACAAGTACGTATGTGATCAGTGTGACGAGAAATTCGAGTTCCGAAGTCATTTGAGTAGACACCAAATATTAGTACACAAGAGCCGCAAAGATTTTTCATGCGACCAGTGTGAGAAGAAATTTGTGAAAAAATCGAGTTTATTTACGCACCAAAAATTAGTTCATAAAGATCGCGAAAATTTGACGTGCAAAAAGTGCGAAAAGAAATTTGAAAGTAAATCAACTTTACTCAAACACAATAAGATATTCCACGAAGTTTTTAAAGATTATTTGTGTGAAAAGTGCGCCAAAAGATTCGGAAGTAAACATAATTTGCTCTTGCATATAAAAACAGTTCATGAGGGATGCAAAGATTTCACTTCTGATCAGAATGAGAAGAAATTTAGATCAACACCGAATTTGATTAAGCACCAAAAAGCAGTTCATGATGGCTATAAAGAATATTCATGTGATAATCGCGCGAAAAAATTTGGATTAAAATCGGATTTGATCAGACACCAAAAAACAGTCAATGAAGTTCTGAAAGGTTTCGCAAGTAATAAGTGTGAAAAGGTAAATACACAAAAACCAGGTTTGTTGTGCCATCAAAAGACAGTTCTCGAAAGTCGCCGCGATTACCCATGCGATAAGTGCGAGAAGAAATTTGTACGAAAACAGCATTTGCTTTTGCACCGAAAGACAGTCCACGAGGGTCGTAAAGATTTTGCATGCGACAAATGCGAGAAGAAATTTGGACAAAAATCGCATTTGATTGACCACCAAAAGATAGTACACGAAGGTCGCAAAGATTATCCATGCGACAATTGCGAAAAGAAATTTGGACAAAAAACACATTTGTTTCGGCACCAAGAGACAGTACACGAAGGTTGCAAAAATTACGCATGCGATAAGTGCGAGAAGAAGTTTGGGCATAAACCGAATCTACTTTCCCACCAAAAGACAGTACACGGCGGTTGCAAAGATTACTCATGTGACGAATGCGAGAAAAAATTTGGGGATCGAAGCAATTTTAGAAAACACCAAAGAATAGTCCATGAAGGTCAGAAAGATTACGGATGCGATAAGTGTGAGAAGAAGTTTGGGCATAAACAGAACTTGCGTATTCACCAAATAACAGTCCATGAGGGTCAGAAAAATTACGAATGCGACAAGTGCGAGAATAAATTTGGAAGGAAATCACATTTGCTCAATCACCAAAAAATAGTCCACGAAGGTCAAAAAGATTACGCGTGCAATAAATGCGAGGAAAAATTTGGACAAATATCTTCCATGCTCTCCCACCAAAAAACAGTACACAAGCGCTGCAAAGATTACGCATGCGACGAATGCGAGAAGAAATTTACACATAAGTCATCTTTGCTTTTTCACAAAAGAACAATCCATGAAGGTCGGAAAAATTACGCATGTGACAATTGTGAGAAGAAATTTGGGAAAAAATCGAAATTACTTTTACACCAACAAACAGTCCACGAAGGCCGCAAAGATTATGTATGTTACAATTGCGAAAAGAAATTTGGACAAAAATCGGATTTCGTAAATCACCAGAGGACAATTCACGAACGTCGAAAAGATTTAGCGTGCGATAATTGTGAGAAGAAATATGGACGAATGTCGCATTTGCTTTTCCACCAACGAACAGTCCACGAAGGCCGCAAAGATTATGTATGTTATAATTGTGAAAAGAAATTTGGACAAAAATCGGATTTGGTAAGGCACCAAATGGCAGTCCACGGCGGTCGCAAAGATTACTCATGTGACAAATGCGAGAAAAAATATGGGGATTTAAGCAATTTTAGAAGACACCAAAAAATAGTCCATGAAGGTCGCAAAGATTACGGATGCGATAAGTGTGAGAAGAAATTTGGATATAAATGGACTTTGCTTTTACACAAAAAGGCAATACACGAAGGTCGCCTAGATTAAGCATGGCACAATTGCGAAAAGTAATGATGATTGACAATTGTAAATATGTATACATATTAGTACATAATATGTTATACTAATATTTCAATAAAAATTACGCTGAAATAATTATGTATTACCTGAACTTCGGACGTTCAATTATTATTGCACCTTTGTACTTTATCGATGTGGTGTGTTTTCAGATTTCGCGTACTACTAATTAATGTACGATTTCTAATCATTTTTTGGCTATTTGGTTTCTGTAGTTGTTCATGCAACCATCAGCCATTTAATAATTTAATTTAAACCAAAAAATGTTTTCTAAATATATGCTATTATATGTGCTATTAATAACTAATAGCTTGATCAAAAGAATTATAGAATATTTCAAAATGATTTTTGTAACGTTTCTGTAATACTCCAATTCATTATAATCAATTAATAGATGGCAGTATTGTTTCTTTAGTGAAGTCTTAATTGAGTAGCAAAAAAACGGAGAAATACTGTACACAGTTTTAACTGGTTTATATTTATACTGATGAAAGACAAATTGAACGAAATCAGTCGATATTTTGCATCAAGGCAATATATGTGACTATAAAAAATTTATAGGAGTTACGAATCATACATAAATCTTGTATTATCAATTTATATCTATATCGGATGAAAAAATAAACGAAAATTAAACTGATTAGAATGAGAAAATCAACTGAGAAGAGAAAAATACGAGAAGAATTGGAAATACTTGAATGAAAGCTTCGAGCTTTTTATTTGTACAAAATATATACAATTATTATAAAAAACAACAATTGCATCGCCGATTATGTACTGAAGCTGCTTCTTCAAACAAAAGTTGTTGTCTGATTATTTGCCAACATAATGTACGCTACTATAATATCATTGTCATTATCACAGATATTACATAATTATAGAGCTATTAAAAATCATAATCCTCGTTAATACAATCGAGTTTAAGAAAACTACTTCATCATTTATTTCTTCCCATTCAGGAATCCATTATATTGTCTTGCCATACGTATAACGACGCGAAGAAATAGCTATATACTATTTGGGCCATGCTTTTCATTTTTCTCATTTCACGACCGAACCAACAGATGTCCCGTGTCGGTGGTAACGAGAAATCGTCCGAATTTTGTTTACTATTGACTTATCGTCTCCTCGGCCGCTCGCACGCGTAAGTATCGTAAAAATTTGCAGATATCTATCATCCTAGCGTCGTTATACGCGTAAATGCATCTATAGATTCAACTTCTGTTTTTTTTGTTTGTTTCAATTTCATTGATTCTCGAAGGCCACACCCGCACACGTACCACAAGCCCCAGAGCTCGGACGACGTCGACCATCGTGACGGATTGAATAAGGGACACACGGTGTTTTTTTTCTGTTTTTGTTGGAAATGGATCATCGACGCTTGTTACTCGCACGGTAAAGATCATTATTTTCAATCAATCGAACTTTTTTCCAACTCTTCTGCTCGATGACTATAAACTCGTATAGCTGAGCGCTGATACACAGAGACTAATTTTGTTTACCTTATCACGTAAGTCCATCGAATAAGTCGTCTAATACGACCGCTCTGTATTACAGTCGATCGAACCGTCACGATATTCTCGCGATTTTGCAATGCATCTTGCGGTCGCGCGGATCTATTACAATGCACTTCGCTCGCTGCGTAAACGATCAATTAATTAGACACGCGTTATAGTTTCCGTAAACGGAGTAAATTACCGCCCTTGTCCCAGAAAAGATCCAACGTTCTCGAGGATGATTATTGTAATATTTCTTCATATCATCCCAGTCGTGGCCGGCTGTGACGGATTATACGGATCGACTTATCGAAAATCTCCCGCGAGCATCCAAAAATTCGAAAATCGTTGGCCTCGCGTATCATACTGACTATCGTATACGAGCGAATTTTTTTGCTAAACAGCGTATCGACGTCGCGCGCAACGACACGATCGTCAACGATCGGCGGCACTCGTCGCAAAAAAAGGAAAAAAGAAAAGAGAGGTGCCGAGTAAAAAAATGACAAGAGAAGCACACGTATCCATGCGTACATGCGAAGGCGATTAGAACGACGTCGATCACTCACTCATCTCCTCGCGTACATCTTTTTTCCCGTTCTGAATGTGATGTACTCGTCTCGCGAGTCAATTGACAATTGCGGGGAAAAAAGTCGCTCTTTTTTTTCATACTCTTCTCTCTCTCTCGTAGCTCGCGGTTGCATTACTGCGTCGCGCTGCGGAATTTGAAAATTCACACACACGATCGTATACGCGCTTTGATATTTCCGGGGACGCGTAACACACACACAGCGACGAGGAATTCATAAAATGCAGCGTTAAAAAAAAATTAAAGTAATGAAAAAAAACGACGAAGAAGAAATTTATCATCGTCGACGACGTGTATATACGCGCGACAATACGCGTTACGATATCGCGAGGTGCTTTGACCGTCGTCGTCGTCATCGCGGCTTTGTAATTTTCTTATGCTTCTTCTTTTTTTTTTTTAGAACTCTTACTCACTTTTCGCGGGCACTCGATAAAGAAAAGCAAGAGAGAGAGAGAGAGAGAGAATACAAGTATCAACATCGGCGATAATATGGTTTTTCGATGACGTTGGTTCGCAATATAACGTCATACAGTATAGGACACGAAGAAATTTTCGACCTCATTTTTCCGAGTAATACGTAATCCTGCAAAGTATTATCGCGCTCGCGCGCGCCCACCGCACACCACACACATATGCGACAGATGTTCTTCGGCACGCGCGCGTTAGATAATATTTGTTATGGATCGATTAATAATTATTAGCGAAAAGTAGGAAGGAAAAAAAATTGTGTGTGTGTGTGAGAGAGAAAGAGGAAAGAATATTTATTATATCGTTATCAGCCGCGCAGGGGCCGATCGATAATAATCGACGATAGCAGCAGCAGCAGCAGCAGCGAGACGCGGGCTCGTTGGCCGAGGTTCATCGAGCTCGAGCGAATTAGTATGGGACAGGCGTTAGAGAAGATGTCCCTCGCACGCAGGTAAGGTCGCGGCTATACTTGTATCAAAAGTGCACGCCGTGTGTGTCATTCAAAAAAAAAAAAAAAAACAAAGAATATATGCCAACCAAATTATCCAACACGACTCGCGATGTAATTTCTCTCTATCTCTCCTGTTTTTTTTCGCGTTTGCGTTATTAGGTTGCAAGTCGGCGGCGGCGGCAACGTGCATGAGTCGTACGCGCGGGGCAATGCGATCGGAGAGCTCGTTCGTGTACGTGTGTATGCAATATATGTAAGTGCGTGTGTGGCTTTGACTGCTTCTGCTGCTGCTGCTGCTGCTGCGGCGATCGCTTCCTATATGTAATACCTGTCCGCAGTCGCGCGCCAACTGTCAACTCGTTTAAATGCGCATCGATCCGCGCGATCGACGCGAGGCTAAATACATACGTATATAAATATACACATGCGTGTATCATATATATTGTTTGAAAATTAAACGAGCGGATCGTTGGAAAATTGCTCTTTGTGCTCGATTGATTTATATGTTGTGTATAGGATATATAATATTGTGCGTGTGTGTGCTTATTCGACTACTGTGCACTCGTGATTGTGTCTCTGTTATCAAGTTCATTTATGGCGAGTTAAAATGTTTCTGTGTAGTTTAAAGTGTCCCTTTCGACGAGACAAGTCGCTGTAATCAAGGTATTTTGCCGATCTTTTGTTCATCGATACTCGGCCCGCGATATTTTTTGTCTTTTTATTTTGTTCAAAACTTTGTTTTCTTTCCAATTTTCATTACCAATGAGCATTAAAGCTCGACGTTGTTGTGGTTTATTGTATCCATTACCGTACCGTCGAGCTTATTGCCAATAACGGTAGGAAAAAAAAAGGAAAATATGTGTTTCCGACGTATTTTTTACGCGCCGTAACACACACTCGATGCATGAGACCGTTTATAATAAGAGAATTACCGCGTGTGTGCGAGCGCACGTTAAACAGCGCTAGGTATAAATACAATAATAACTCGTGTACAGTAATAAAAACGACGATTAACATAAAATATTAGCGTCACGCCGCGCGTCTGTGTGCAGTAGTTACGATACTTTGTTGTCGCTATATATTTTTTCTACTTATTATTTGTATTTATTTTTCTACTTGTTACTCGCATCTTTTTCGCAGCACGTTTTGGTTCCGTCGGCCTTATAAGAACGAAAAGCGCGTTTAGACAAATTTACGATACGTCTGGCGATATATGTAGAGCAATGAATTTTAATTCAATCGCCTGGCTTATCTGGCATTGAACGATGGCTTTTGAAGAAAAGGCTTGTGCATTTTACGCATACGTGTAGCGTCTACCATATCAACATTTTATATATTTTAAAAAATTAGAACGGGAAAAATCATTATGTTCATAGTAATCAAAAAAATAGTCAGAAATTCAGAACAAAAATTATTCTTTCATAAAAAACTTTTAAGTACAGTCACCTCCCCAGTGATTGAAAACGCACCATCGAATGAAACTTTATTTATAAATTAATATAATTTAATTATACTGAACTAATTCATCGGTAGTGAAATTTTATAATATAATTGAGCATTAATACTAAATATTTCAATAGTTTTTAACAACTTTCTGAATACATTATCATTAATTAAATGACTCTGAAAATGGTTTCATTTACTGGTACATCGTGTATTTTTCCCTTTTTTTTATTAATGAAAGTTGAAAGTAAACATTCTGCAAAAATTCTATTTACTAGAGAAAGACATTTACTATTATAATCCATTTGAATAATAACCTTCGATTTATTAAAAACGTTTATTTGAGCTAAATTTAAGTAAACTTTTTTGAAACCTTTCATTTACTGGGTAGGTGACTCTATATCTTTTAAATTCACAGTACAAAATTATGATAACAACAATTACTCAAAAAAATAAAGTACTCAAAATTTCTCTTTATTTCCCTACGATCACCCCCAAAAAAAGGAGCTCCCGACGCCGCAGCACGATGTCTCTGATCGACGTGCAGGAGGGCGTCGTGCTGTCGTCGCGTCGCCAATCCTCGCAGATGATGATGAACGTCACGCCGTCGCCACCTCGCATCAACGTGATCTCGCCGAGCGGCGGCTCGCCCTCGCCCACCACACCGTCGCCGTCGCAACGTCAGCAACGCGATCGCAACGACTCGACGTCGAGCACGACCTCGATCCTGGCCTCGGCGAGCTCGGCGGCGGGCAAGGATAGCGGCGAGATGACGCCCTATCGGCTTACCCAGCGCATCGTCGAGGACAATTTCAGGCACGAGTCGTTGTTGTACGACACCCCGACGACGAGCGGCAACAACGGCGACGGTGGCAATAGACGCGGCAGCTTTCTCAATATCGACAGCGCGCGCAGACGGCTGAGCAACGTCGGCGACGCCGTCAGTCGCAAGATCTCGTGCACGATCGGCTGGAAGACATCCAACGTCGACACGATCGTCCAGGAGGTCAGTTTCTATTTATAATTGTAATAATGTAATAATATAATACACCCACTCGCGCGCGGCCTCGAGAGCGCACAAAAGTGACATTGGAGTGTAAAAAGAAAAAAAAACGTTCTTATCGAATTGGTATATGGGTGAATCCACTGAACGTGGACGCTTTTGTGATACTGCAATATTTCTATATGCTTCCATCGATGTTGCGCAACGGAATATAGGCACGGCAAGTGTCTTGGAATATTTTATTCACTTAGTTATTAGGAAACTTTTTATGAAAATTATCATTGAGAATATAATTATTATTAAGTACGTTGTAGTCAATGGCAGGTTTCGGCGCGGGGGCTACATTGTTCGGTATGAACATTGAAATATTTTATTATACGTGTGTATAAGGATCTATTCAAGGGATGTTTTTATGTGATCTCGATTTTGTCTGTCGGAAATTTATTTGAAAGTACTTAATTTTAAAATTTTCCAAATATTCCTTGAAGAAATTGTTACCGAGTTAAAATTTTAAACCGTTACAAATATTGCTAGAATAACTTATATTAACAGACAATTAGGTACCTTGGTTGTAAACAATACGATTATAATTGATGACTGATACGTAACTGATCATATTTACATTAAAAACAAATTAGTTTCAATTTGTCTTTCCCGATGAAACAAGGCATAATACCAAAAGATAAATTATACTCGTTCAATTTCCGTAGTACTAAATAGAAAGATCCATCGTTTAATTTAGACGTCAAAATGGATGAAATTAAGAAATCAGAAAAAGTTGTCTCAAAAGATAACTCAAGTGAACCCCACGTCGTTGTTTCGGACGACAAACAATACATCTGTGACATTTGTCATGAGGCATTTACACTAGAATCAAGTATGATGGCACACCGCGACACAACTCACAATTATCAAAAAAATTATAAATGTGACAAGTGCGATCAGAAATTCGAGTTCCGAAGTCATTTGAGTAGACACCACATATCAGTGCACAAAGGCCCTAAAAATTCAGCATGTGACCAGTGCGAGAAGAAATTTGTGAAAAAATCGAGTTTATTTACGCACCAAAAATTGGTCCACAAAAATAACAAAGATTTCACATGCAACAAGTGCGAGAAAAAATTTGAGAACAAATCCACTTTACTTAGGCACGAAAAAATATTCCACGAAGTTTTCAAAGATTACTTATGTGAAATCTGCGCGAAAAGATTTGATCGCAAAAAAAATTTGCTCTTGCACATAAAGGCAGTACATGACGGTCGCAAAGATTATGCATGCGAAAAGTGCGAAAAGAAATTTGGAAGAAAATGGAGTTTGATTCAGCATCAAGAGACAGTCCACGAAGATCGCAAAGATTACACATGTGACAAGTGCGAGAAGAAATTTGGACATCACTGTAATTTACTCAGTCACCAAAGGACAGTCCATGAAGGTCAGAAAGATTATGAATGCGACAAGTGCGAAAAGAAATTTGGACGTAAACTGCATTTGCTTTTGCACCAAAAGACAGTCCACGATGGTCGCAAAGATTATGCTTGTGATAAGTGTGAGAAGAAATTTGGAAGAAAATCAGATTTGTTGATGCACCAAAAGGTAGTCCATGAAGGTCGCAAAGATTACGCTTGTGACAAATGCGAGAAGAAATTTGGGCATAAACAGAACTGGCGCAATCACCAAAAAACAGTCCATGAGGGTCGCAGAGATTTTGTATGTGACAAATGCGATAAAACTTTTGCATACAAATGGATTTTACTTTCACACCGAAAGACATTACACGACGGTCGCAAAGATTACCCTTGCGACAATTGCAAGACAGTATTTGGAAATAAATTTAATTATCTTTTGCACCAAAAGACTGTCCACGAAGGTCGGAAAGATTACGCGTGCGACAAGTGCGTGAAGAAATTTGGACGAAAATCAGATTTGTCCAGGCACAAAAAGATAATACACGAAGGTCGAAAAGATTTCACATGCGACGAGTGTGAGCAAAAATTTTGGCTAAAAACAGATTTGCTCTTGCACACATCAACGGTCCATGAGGGTCGCAAAGATTACTCATGCGATAAGTGTGAGAAGAAATTTGGACACAGGTCAAATTTGATCAGACATCAAGAAATAGTCCATGAAGGTCGTAAAGATTATGCATGCGACAAGTGCGAGAAGAAATTTGCAGTAAAATCCAATTTGCTAACCCACACAAGGGCAGTACATGACGGTTGCAAAGATTACTCGTGTGACAAGTGCGAGAAGAAATTTAGATATAAACCGGGTTTGGTCAGCCACCAAAGGACTATCCATGAAGATCAGAAAAATTATGCGTGCGACAAGTGCGAGAAAAAATTTAGAACTAAATCAGCAGTGTCCAGGCATCAAACGATCATCCACGAAGGTCGCAAAGATTTTGCATGCGATCAATGCGAAAAAAAATTTGGACAAAAGGCACATTTGATTAAGCACCAAAGGACAATACACGAGGGTCGCAAAGATTACACATGCACGTAATGCAATATGACATTTGTAGTTAAATCAAATTTACTCTTGCACCTAACAATAGTCCACGAAGGTTGCAAAGATTCCGCATGCGACAAAAGCGAGAAAAAATTCTGACGAAAGGGACATTCACTCCTGCGCCAAAAGAAAATACACCAAGGCGATACAATTGCGAGAAGAAATGATGATTGACAATTGTTAATATTCATAGATACTCAAGTACAAAATTGCAATAAATATGCTGCTGAAATGATTGATTCTTTTCAAATCTCTTTTTCACATCCTATTTTGAGCTGTGAATGGCGTGATGATTGAAGGAGGCTAGTCAGTAAAATGGGTTGACAACAGATGTTTATGAAACTTTGCAGAAATGTCATTTAAAGTGCCCTTGATATGCTGTAGAAATTTCAGCATGGGTTATCGAACTAATTTTTGAGAACGAAGCCGTTGAAAATAGCAAATTTAACATAGGCTCTTATGAGAGGCCACCATAATTTCATACATTTTACGCCATAACTTTTTTATTAAACAACAGATCTTAACCAAAAACGAGTATGTTATGCTTCTAGTCACTACCTTTCGATTAGTATGTTAAAAATTACCCCTTATCGAAGTAACCAAAAAGTAATTAAACAAAATGTGCGCAAAATCATTGATTTCGAATAGTGCGAGCGGTTGCCTGCCTAATGCGAGAAAGAGACAGACATATACGTCTCGCTACACTATTGTTGTGATTACTGACTAGCCACCTTAATAAGCTATTAAATTTTTGATAAACCTTACGTTATAATATCGTGATCCTAAATTTATTAAACTTATGCAAAAGTGAAAGATTGTGATGAACTTGCTGACCGACTAATTATTATCGCTAAAAGAAGCGTGATCGATAGTAAAAATAAGTTTTTATCAAAAGTAATCAACGTAGAAACCATTTCATAAGTTAATTTAAACCAATAAATGTTGTCTAAATTTCTCGTCAAAATCAGTAAAAGTTCTAAGTACTTTTATCAACCCAAAATATTATATTGAAGTTCTTCTAATTGCGTTAGCGGCAATCGTATAAGTTAATATAAAACTGTCCCACAGTATCACAAAAGCGACCAAGTTCCGTGGATTTGCCCACGTATATTCCGAAAGAGTTAATCGAGGTCGTCGCGCGGTGCACACATCTCCTTTTTCAAGTATTAAATATAAATTAACGTTCGGCTGTGAATTTATGCTCTTCGCGCGCGAGTCGGTCGGTTCCTTCTTCTTCTCCTTTTTTATGCCCACGGTATAACTCGTTTTTTACACGCTCGAATCGATCGTCGCGGTCGAGTGTTCATTCAACTCTGAGATCGATCGAATCGAGAAAAATAATAATGATAGTAATGTGTCTCCACACAGGGCGTCGCTCTGTGCAAGTACTACGTGCGCAATCGGCTGAAGCGCTCGGGCCTGCTGACGCGCAAGATCGGCCTGCGACGCACGACCTCGTCCAAGCTCGTGGTCGAGTCCAATCACACAGCGGCCGCCTCGGCCGCCACGGGCAACGGCCACTCGGCCTCGACCATATGGTCCGCCCACCAGATGGTCCCCGAGCTCGCCGCTCTCGGCGCCGAGCTCGAGAAGATGTATCCGGAGCTGTACGACCGCGTCGGCCGACAGATCGGCTGCGTCCAATTCACCAGCAAGCAGCGAGTCGGGGACGCCCTGGGCGACGTGGTGCGCGAGCTCATGCAGCGCGCGGGCGGCTGCAACTGGTCCAAGATCGTGGCGATCTACGCGGTGGCCGGCGGACTGGCCTGCGACTGCGTCAGGCAGGGCAATCCGGACTTTCTCGACGCCATCTACGAGGCCATGGAGAACGTCATCGAGGAGTACATCGCGCCCTGGATACTGATACGAGGCGGATGGGTGAGTTATACACGAGAGAGTTTTATAACTTTATTTTCTGACATTTTTAATCTCGTTCGCTTCGATTATTACAGAGCGACTTGTCGGCCAAATGCAAAACCGAGCCCCACTGGGATCCCGAAAAGTCCACCTACGCGATAACGATCGGCTTGATGATAGTCTGCGTCACGCTCGTGATATTCATTCTGGTCTTGATCGTGAGACTGTTTTTTCTGTGATTTCCTTACTTCTTCGGTTTTTTTATTATTGTTGTTGTTGTAACGTATCGAAGAACGAAGCTATATTTTCTACAGGACGATAAACTTAAGATATCTATTTTGTAAGTCATGAAAAGTATTATACATTCTTGTAGTTGAAGAAAGATTTTTATGTGTCAGGCCACATATTATTTGCCAATACAATACGAGTATTTTCTTACGATATTTATTACATTTTTTCAACTCAGAAAAATGTAACATATACGTAATAAAATTCCACGATTCTTAACCATTGACGATCTTTGAAACAAAGTGCTAACGCTTACTCAACGATCTTTTAATTCTCTTAAGCCGAGCGAAATAAAAAATCTTGAGGTGTTGGAAGCTCCGAAATATATGTACCATTTGACAAATAAACGACGCCGAGTGTTGATAAATGTAAATAAAGAGAGTACTAATTTATAAGTTTAAATTTTATTCATTACAATCCCGAGCATGCGCAACCACAATATCCTCGAAAATTCATATAAATAAATACGCGTGTAAACAGCGAGCAACGCCTGAATCGGTCAGTCGGTCGATAGATCGCGAGCCGTCAACGTGCCATACGAAAAGCAGTCAAAATGAACAACACGATCAACCTCTCGCGGGTGTACCAGGAGCCCGCGGAGACGACGGCCGATCGGCTCCGCGAGAGCTTCATGGCGGAGGCCGATCACGACAACATACTGATGGGCCACTACAACGTCGACCGAGTGAACAAGTCCTCGTTCGGGCAGAGTTTGGAGGAGGGCGAGACTTGGACGCTCTACTACGTATTTTTCTCCCTGCTGATTACGTTCATCAGTGCGCTGCACACGCGCTGGGTGCGCGACGACGAGATAGAGAGAAGACGCGCGAGACGCGCGGAGCGCCAGAATTGATCGACGACGCCCCCCCACGATCGTGTGTAATTGTGATGGTGAATTTTTTATTTTATACTCGTGACCATGTGTAGCGTATTTTAAAATGTCAAATCCGAAATAAGACTCATCGGATATCGTTCGACTAATAGTGTATTATTTACATTTGCGTCTCTTACTTGTACATATTACAACTTGTAACTGTATATATGTTCTATATATATAAATTTTTATATACACACACAAACACACATGACTTTTGTATAATTTCTCTCCCTTTCTCTCAATCTTCGGGTGTGACGGATTTGCGTCTGGTCGGCTCTGCGTCGTGATGATTGTTCGTTGGCTTCTTGCTCGCTTCACCTTTCTTGTCTCGCGCTGCTCTCTCCTTCTTCGTCGTTCTCTCCTTTTCCGACTTGTTGTCGGTTTTCTCGCCGCTGCTGACCCTCTCCTCCTTGCTAACAGCGGCTCTCTCGCTGTCGATGATTTTTTCCTCCCTCGAGCTCTTCTCCCGTCTGGAGCTTCTCTCGGCCGGCGGCGGATTGGTCTCGGCTTTGTCGCCGTCGCCGCCGCCGCCCTTGGCCTTCTCGCGCTCGAGCTTTTCCTTCTCTCTAGCCTCCTTCAAAAAAATTTATAAATGAAAATTACATCTTGAACTTGAAAAAAAAAAAAAAAGAAAAGCTATAAAATCTTACTCTCTTGGCCGCGTGGGCCTTGGCTATGTTGGCTTGCACAGCCAGAAAGCTCTGATTGACCTCCTTCTTGTCCAGCGCCTCGAGGTAACGCTTCCTCGCCTCGAGCACCTCCGACAGCAGCTTCTTGTGCTTTATGGCCAGCTTCAGAGCTCTGCCCCAGTTGTACATCTCCACGTTGATCCTGATGGCCTCGGGCACCAATCCGTTCTGCAGCAGTATACCCTCGGCCGCGAGCAGATCCCCGGCCAACAGGGCCATCTCCGCCAGTCGCTCCATCTCGCCGGGTATCGCCTTGATGTAGCGTATGTAGTCGACCTTGTCGTAGCGCGAGATAGCGGCGCAGGCCTCCTCGGCGATGCTCAGCTGCTTGCCGTCGATGGCCATCACGGCCATGCACGTCCACAGGGTCTCGTTGTCCTGGACGAGGCGACACAGCGAGATGGCCTCCTCCCATTTGCCGCGGAGCACGTGGCCATGCAGCTGGCCGAAGAACCGATAGAACGAGCCCGAGACGAGGGCGCCGTCGCCCCGGCGCACCCTCACCTGGCCCTGCTGGGCCCCCACGATGGTCGCGTGCTTGCCGTACTCGGCGTTGTCGCGATCCAGCCGAGTCTTGCGTATGATCTTGCGATCGCTGTAGTGCACGCAGCTCGGGCAGAGCCAGACCGATAGGGTGGAGTCGAGCATGCCCGCGAGCACGTTGGCGTCCGTCGCCCAGGCTATGTTCTGGGCCATCACGGCTATACACACGTAGATCGATGGAAAAACGAGAAACGAATCTTGAATGTCTGAATTTTTTTTTAAATAAAGCGCACACCGAGAAAAAAAATTCATCGATTCAATGAAAATTTAATTGAATACAATCTATGAAATAATTTCATTGAAATAATGAATTTTTATTTCATCCAACAAAATATGAGATTGTTTAACGAAAGTTTCATGAAACGTTGGTAAAAACAATTAAATATTTTGTTGGATGAAATAAAAATTCATTATTTCAATGAAATTATTTCATAGATTGTATTCAATTAAATTTTCATTGAATCGATGAATTTTTTTTCTCAGTGTATAATAATGTTGTGGACTGTTATAAAAAGTAAAAAAGTGTAAAAAATTGTAAGATTACTAACGATTTCGGACGTGTGATACGTTTTTCTACACTTTTATACTTTTTATTACAGTTTATTACATTTGTTTACCTATAATTAGAGAGATGAAAACCCTATGAATTCAAGCTGATTACAGTTATATGGAGAAAGTAAAAAAGTGCGAGAAAACAAAATTCCATAACAATAATTTTAAATGTTACAATTTTTACTTATGAGTTAAAAATTCCAGTCAAGCCCGCATGTGATCGAATTGACCGCAGCAAGTGAAGACAGCAAAAAGTGTAATAAAGTGTAAAAAAAATGTGATTTTATGCTGCCTTTACATTTTTTTACATTTTATTACATTTTACAATTTAATACGATGATTTGAGTTGCTACTTTTACTTTTCCTTGAACGATTTTTTTCCATCGGGGATGTATTATACGTGAGAGAGCGAGAGAGCTTACCGATTTTACAAACTCGACCGAAGCCCGTGGCTCGGATCGAGATGAGAAACAGATCTCGATTGGCGTCGATCAAGGCCAGCTGACGATCGGCCACCTCGCCCACGTAGTTCAGCGCCAGCGCCAATACTTCCTGGCCGTGAGTGTAGGGCTGGCCCTCCGTTATCGGCTTCTTCGGCGTTATCTCGAGCACGTGCAGTACTAATTTTCGAGAGAAAAAATTTTCTTATTTTTCATTCAAAAACGATCGTCATCGATTGTTCTGCGTACGTTTGTAATTGCTCTGGTCGCGAACGACGATCGTGTCCGAGCAGACCGAGACGCTGGGCGCGTACAGAGGCTCCATCGTTTGGCCCTTCCACTTGGGCACGCCGACCTGTCTGCCCTGATAATTGTACAGGGTGATCGCGCTCCACTCGATCAGCAAAAAGTGCCTGCGAAGAAGAAGAAGAAAAAAAAGAGTAAAAATACGACAATGCAAAATTTTTCTAATTGGGCACGCACTCACTTATTGGACAGCACGACGGCCGAGACCGAGCCGTTCTTCAGCTCGAATATGATCGGCGTGTTCCAGTTCTTGACGGAGTAGACGTGGCACTGGCTGGGGGTGACGGCGACCAGATGCTCGAAGCCGAACTCCATCTGCACGACCCGGTCGCCGATGTCCAGCGTCTCGTCGATGTCCGTGCCCAGCTCCTGGATTCTGATGGCTTTGCGCTTGATCAGGGTGGCCTCGTAATTCTTGTACTCGAGCTTTCTACATTATTTGGATTGAGATTGATGTAAAAGTAATGTCTGTGTTTGCTTTTGCATGAATGTTTTTTTCCAGTTTGAGTATAAAAAAAAATAAATAAATAAACCGATGCTGACAAATTAATTTTCAACGTAGATCTCATGTGAAAGCACCTCAAAGGCTAGTTACAGAGCACGCCCATCATGCCTTGGTGTGGGGGCGGCAAATTTTGGCATGAATATTAAAATATTTTATTATACATGTGTATAAAGATCTATTCAGGAGATATATTTATGTGAGCTTTTTGTCCCCCTGAAGTTTTATTCTATTTGCAAGTACTTAATTTTAGAAGGTACGAAAATTCTTACTAGAATAATTTATAAATAGTAAATAAGTACCTTAGATGTAAATAATAAAATTATAATTCATGACTGATACATAACTGATCATGTTTACATTGAAAACAAATTAGTTTCAATTTTGTCTTTCCCGATGAAACAAGCCATACCAAAAGATAAATTATACTCGTCGTCCGTAGTACTAAATAGAAAGAATCCAACGTTTAATTTAGTCACGAAAATGGATAAAATTAAGAAATCAGAAGAAGTTGTCTCAAGTGAACCCGACGTCGTTGTTTCGAACGACAAACAACACATCTGTGACATTTGTCAGGATGAATTTACACTGGAATCGAGCTTGATAACACACCGAGACACAATTCACAATGGACAAAAAAATTTCGCATGTGACAAATGCGAACAGAAATTTGAGTTCCGAAGTCATTTGAGTAGACACCAAATATCAGTACACAAAGGCCGCAAAGATTTTTCATGCGACCAATGCGAGAAGACATTTGTGAAAAAATCGAGTTTATTTACGCACCAAAAACTAGTTCATAAAGATCGCGAAAATTTGACGTGCAAAAAGTGCGAAAAGAAATTCGAGAATAAATCAACTTTAATCAAGCACAAAAAAATATTCCACGAAGTTTTTAAAGATTATTTATGTGAAAGGTGCGCCAAAAGATTCGGCAGTAAACATAATTTGCTCTTGCATATAAAAACAGTCCATGATGGCTATAAAGAATACTCATGTGATAATCGCACGAAAAAATTTGGATTAAAATCGGATTTGATCGGACACCAAAAAAAAGGCCATGAAGGTCGCAAAGATTACATATGCAGCATTTGTGAAAAGAAATTTAGACAAAAATCGGATCTGCTAAAGCATCAAAGGGCAGTTCACGAAAATCGAAAAGACTTTGCATGCGGTAAGTGCGAAAGAAAATTTGGATATAAATCAGTTCTGTTGAAACACCAAAAGATAGTACACGAAGGTCGCAGAGATTACCTATGCGACAAGTGCGAGAAGAAATTTGGACAAAAATCGCATTTGATTGACCACCAAAAAATAGTACACGAATGTCGCAAAGATTATCCATGCGACAATTGCGAAAAGAAATTTGGACAAAAATCGGATTTATTAAAGCACCAAAGGATGGTCCACGAAAGTCGTGAATATTACGCATGTGACAAGTGCGAAAAGAAATTTACACAAAAAATGCCATTGATTAGGCATCAAACGAAAATACACGAGGGTCGCAGAGATTACCCATGCGGCAAATGCGAGAAGAAATTTGGTCAAAAAATACATTTGTTTCAGCACCAAAAGACAGTACACGAAGGTCGTAAAGATTATGCATGCGATAAGTGCGAAAAGAAATTTACACAAAAACCGAATCTGCTTTCCCACCAAAAGTTAGTTCACAAAGGTCAGAAAAATTATGCATGCGACAAGTGTGAAAAGAGATTTGGAATCAAACAAGATTTGGTCAGACATCAAAACATAATCCACGAGGGTCGAAAAGATTTCGCATGCGAGCTGTGCGAGAAGAAATTTGGACAAAAAAATCATTTACGCCTCCACCAAAAAACAGTACACGAAGGACGAAGAGATTTTGCGTGCGACAAATGCGAAAAAAAATTTGGGGATAGAAGCAATTTCACAAAGCATCAACAGATAATACACGAAGGTCGTAAAGATTTCGGATGTGACAAGTGCGAGAAGAAATTTGGACGAAAATCGACTTTACTTTTGCACCAAATGACAGTCCACGGCGGTCGCAAAGATTATGTATGTTACAATTGCGAAAAAAAATTTGGACGAAAATCGGATTTGGTAAATCACCACAAGACAATTCACGAACGTCGAAAAGATTTAGCGTGCGATAATTGTGAGAAGAAATATGGACGAATATCACATTTGCTTTTCCACCAACGAATAGTCCACGAAGGCCGCAAAGATTATGTATGTTATAATTGCGAAAAGAAATTTGGACAAAAATCGGATTTGGTAAGGCACCAAATGACAGTCCACGGCGGTCGCAAAGATTACTCATGTGACAAATGCGAGAAAAAATATGGGGATTTAAGCAATTTTAGAAGACACCAAAAAATAGTCCATGAAGGTCGCAAAGATTTCGGATGTGACAAGTGCGAGAAGAAATTTGGACGAAAATTTACTTTACTTTTGCACCAAAAGCTAGTTCACGATGGTCGCAAAGACTACTCGTGCGACAAATGCGAGAAAAAATTTGGACACAAGGCAAATTTTTTGAAGCACGATAGAACAATCCACAAAGATTGCAAAGATTAAGCATGCTGAAATTGCGAGAAGAAATGATGATTGGCAATTGTATATTGTGTGTTGCTTTTGCACGAATGTTTTTTGCAGTTTGAAAGAAAAATAAATAAATAAATAAACCAGTGATGACAAATTGGATCTCACGAGAGAGTACCTCAGATGAAATCCAGTATCGATTACTTTCATTTGCAATTTATGATTTAACATTGAATCTAGATTAAACTTAAAATTGTTTCGAACAGTGTACTACAGTGATTAAAATATATTACAATGAAAAATGGCTTTTCTTACTTCTGGATCGTGTGAGCGACGAGGATACTGCCGTTGCTGCAGGCCAATACCACCTGAGTGCCGTCGTTCGACCAGGCGATACTGTAAATGCTGCCGGCTTGAAGTTTTTCCGTCGAATGCGACCACTACGCGATAACACCGAAAAAAAGAAAAAAACAATCACAGATCGATTCCCCTGATTAATTAAGATTTCTTTCGAGCGGCATTACGAACTCACGCCAACTTTGTCGCAGAGCTTCAACGTGTTGAACGAGCCGACGGCGAAGTGACTGCCGGAGAAGCACCAGCTGACCGAGGTCACCGGGTGATCGCCGCCCATGCTGGTGTAAAGAAGATTTCCGCTCGGGTCCCAGAGCTTGTAGCGGCAGTCCTCGCCGCCCGAGACGATGAGACCGTGAAATTGATTCCAGCTCACGGCGATTATCAGGCCGTCGTGTCCCTGCCACTGTGAGAAAGATTCGGAACATTTACTTGGGATTTTTGGCTACCTTCCGTTGTAAAATATTTTGTAGTAAAGGAGACCTTTGAAATAAGTTATACAGATATTTAGACATGTATGTAAATACGGAGTCTATTCTATTTTCTAAATTTATTGATATTTTTCTTCATCTTGGCACTTGCGGGTAATAGATGTGCCATCTACAAGTAATTACGTAACTACAAAGGAATTAGTAGGTTCTTTAATTTTTGGGATTCTCATATATCATTAAAGTTGTATAACTTGAAAAAAAATCATACTCGCACAAAAAGTTATTCAAATATGTTAAATTAGAATGCACAAGTACATTTATTCAATTTCTACTAAAGCTTTTGACTTTCAATACGTATTAATCCAATAAACATCCCAATTTTTAATGTCAATTTGTTGTTTGGAGATTTGATAAATAAAATTTCCAAAATGTTAAGCTTATAAATATTTTTTATTTGTTTTCAACTTATTCTCATAAGAGAATTTCTAAAAACAAATTGTTCTATTAAATGATTTCAAGATGTTGCTATGATTATCATAGCAAGTACATTATTAATACATAATGACTTGGTGATACATCAAGTAATTTTTAATGAAATTTATAATAAATAAATAACAATATACCACAACAAAAAATCTAATGACAAAAAAACTAACAATATTTTCCTGAAATATCAGAAGTTTTAACATGTTCCACAATTTATAAAAAAAAAATATTCTCAAAGGCATTTAGCATCGCTATAAACTTTGTGAAATATTCAACAAAATAGGCTGAAGTATTGTACAGAGCCATTGTTTATAATTGACACATAAATTTTCTTGCAAAAGTATACATTTTTCTCTATTCTAATTTTACATCTATCGAATTGAAAGTATTCTTTTGTGACAATTTATCTGTAGAAAGAGATCTATCTACAATGGATGTTCTATGCAATATCTTCTATGAAGATCCTAATTGATACATACTGGATGTAAAATGACTTCATCGTATTGGTAACAAACTTCTAACATGACACAGATTCAACTTTCAAGTAGGATATTAGAAAAGTGTTTACACATCAGAAGAAGCATTACAGCGACACAACTTTTCTTTGCACAAAAAATGGATGATCATCAGTTTTTTATGTACAAAATTACACTTTATTTACACTTTATTTACAAATTGACACTTTAGTTGTCTTTGGATGCCATGTGTCGCATCAAGTTTTTAATAAACTTTTCCATTTTCTTCACGTCTTGGGCAACTTCAGTCTTGTATTGTAGACACTATAAAACCCAAATGATACATTTAAAAGATTACAAATATGTTATGACAAATAAAACAAACTTATTATGCTTGCAAAGATGTGCAAAGCAGTTTAGGTTATGCTCCAAATAAAGCGGGTATGCTTACCGTTTTGTCGTCGGTGATCTTGAAGTCGAGAACTCCTTTTTGATGGCAGTACTTCATCGTGTACCTCGTCTAAATAAACGACAAAAAAAAAAATGTTGAAAATTTAATTCATCAAAAGCAGCGGGTGTAAAAAATCACTTGCACTGTCACTTTTAGCATTTATTTACCTTCATCGGATTCTGCAAGTACAGGCGTTCGGCGACCTTTTCGAATTCCTCCCACGAGCTCGAGTAGGTCATTTTGTATCGGTAAGATTGGATTTATGCACCGTTAATTAGAAAATCTGCGCGGTGTGCAATCTGCTGAATGTGTACACGAATACGAGGCTCGCGTACGACTTGTCATGTTGTCTCGAAAATCGCCGAGCGGCGTGGATAACGAACACATCGTCTGCAGTATGTGGCGCCACGCGGTTGCCGCCGTAGTAGCGTGGATAAGCGCGCGATCTGCGTAAAATAAAATACGACTGCGAGCAAAAGTCACCGCTACCTAATTCTATTTAAACAATTGTGAAATGCTGTTTTGTCGAGGCAAATTTGTTTCAATCGTCATTCGAGGCTAGTGAATTCTATTTTCTTACTCATGGTGAAGTAAGCGCATGCAGTTCGTTGGATTGCTTTTCTGTACAACCGATAATGAAATAGTATATTTCTCAACGGGTGCACATATGGTTTTTTAGCAAAACGAGGGATTATAGCACGAGCCGAAGGCGAGTGCTGTAACGAGTTTTGTTAAAAAACCATATCTGCACCAGTTTGAGATACTATTTATACGAGAGCCTAAAATTAGCGGCAAAGTTGCGTATTTTAAGTTAGAGTGGGAAAAATTAAATTATAAAAATACATTTCGCACGCTACTACCTATCACAGAGATCTATTGAACTTACAAAAGTATCTCGTTATTTAGCGTGTCCTACGCGAAAGTTCGGTTTTACAATTAATTGTCGTATTAGATTTACCTCTGTTGAATTCAAATTAATGAAGCGAAATCATCTATCCATGCAAATGCTCATCTACTATGCAAAAAACCATATATGATATAGTCGTCGAAGCCTAATATACAATATCGGTACGAGAATATACAAGTCGTCGAAGTCTAATATACAATTTTTTCTTTATATTGCTACTTGCGGGTACTAGATGCGCTATCTATAGGTAATTTTGTAACTAAAAGCAATTTAGTCTTCTCAGTTCATGTGTCGGAGAGAAACCCCATAGCGTAACGATGGACTAAAATCTTGTTGACATCTCGTCTCGGATATACCAAGCGACCGGGTAAAGAGCTCTTAATCGTGGCTGTCGTCGCTCTAGGCGTTAGAAACGCCAAAACTAGGTAAAATGTGAAAATAAACGACAAAAAAATCTCTCCAGCGGGGAATCGAACCCCGGTCTCCCGCGTGACAGGCGGGGATACTGACCACTATACTACTGAAGATTCATATATTTTTTGGAGTCGTCAGACCATACATACTGTACAATTACGACTCCAAATTATTCGGAGCAAAAGCGACTCCGAAAAAACGGAGAAATCGCTTTTTCGAAAAATTCGGAGCAATTGCGGTTCAGCCAAATTTGGAGCAACTACGACTCCGAATTATTTGGAGTAAAAGAGACTTCGAAAAATCGGAGCAAACGGAGCCATTTCGTAAAATTCGGAGTAAAAGCGACCCCGAAAAAAACGGAGCAAACGGAGCAACTGCGACTCAGCTGAATTCAGAGCCACTACCGCTCCGTAGTCGAATTTTATACAAAATATATTGCTAATTGACTTTCAACAAGTATCTAATTATTACTTATATTTAGGAGTCATTTTACTAGATAAAGAATTAAAAATTTTCCAAAAATATGATAAATTATTGTTGAACAATTGATAAGAATATTGTATATTTTTAAAAACATTTTTGTGTCACAACGTTTTAATTATAGTCTAGAATTGAACATTTATCGTCTGACTAGATGACAAAACGTTCATTTTCTGAAAAACTTGTAGCACGAAATTTTATCGAGACACGTTGACCGATCTTTACCTTAAAAAATAGAAACAATCATGCATATTTTACCGGAAGTCTAATTCATTTTATCGTATAATATTTTCTTATTGTACACTAAAAAAAAATATCAAAATTATTGGGTTATATTTTGCTGCTAACTTTTAAAAATTCTTCTGCTTTAGCAACAAAATATCTTTTTCTGATTTTCAGATGTCCATTTTTTCTGGATCTACCCATAAGATTTTTTTCAGTGTGTAATTTTATTATTAACGTAAAAAGTTAAAAATGTGTCGGACTGATCTATCACTTTGTCCTCAAAGGTCAGGCAATACGATAATTACGTACTTTTAAAGGCTTCGAAGTCGACGTCAAAGATTGGATGAGCAGAAACGGGCCCTGGGCGTACAGAATCATGGAATTGTCGGGGCTCCAAGCGGCGGCCAGCACCGGCTGGTTGCCTCTCACCACCGTCGAGCGTAACATGCCGCTGCGCGACCATACCTTCAGCAAACCGTCTTCACCGGCTGTAATTTAAAAAAAAAAGTAGTCACGAATAAAGGCCTCGCACAGCTGGATAAATAAATAATATCGTAATCGTTGCCCCATACTGACCAGTTAGCAGAGCCGTGCCGTCGTAGCTCCATTTGCCGCAAATCGTCGCCCCCGCGTGAGCCGACACGGATTTCTCGATTTTGCCCGTTTTACTCACCAAGTGATATCTTCCTGTGTTCCGTGGGGAGAATAAAGAACCGCATCGATTAGATAATTAAAAATAAAATATTCCACTTCGAAAAGTAATTCGGATAGTGAAAACAATACCGTCGTCGGTGGTGATGAGTAGGACGTCCTGCGAGAGCTTTTTCAGCGCGCCCGAGCCCGGCTGCACGGGACGCGAGTGGCACTGCATGTCCGTGGGATAAAAATCGTCGGGCAGCTCGGCCACGACTCTCGAGGCGAGCATGCCGCCGTCGAATTTCCAGGAGACCAGCTGGTGATCGTCGCTGTGTCGTTCGACGCAATTAGCAATGAGAAAACGATACGGAGCAATGATTTGTATTTTGTATTGTACTAACCCGCAAGAAAATATTTCGTCCGACGCGTTCCACACGACGCAGGTGACCATCTTCGTGTGGCACTTGGGGCCCTTTTGCAGTATCTTGAAACGCATTTTATCGAATTTATTTTTTTGTGCAAGTTTAATTCGCTGATTGGGTCGAGTCGCTCGAGCGAATGCGTCTCGCGAGGTAAGAAATTTAATATACAACAATGAATGCAGCACAGTAGCAGCCGATGCTCGCTGATCTCCATGGCGACTCGTACCGCACAACAATTTGAATCGTTTGAATTTCTGTCGCGCGTGTGCGTGTGCGAGGTGAAAAATGATATGCGCAATCACAATGTATTTCTTCATTTTTTTTTCTTTATTGATTGTAGAATTTTTCAATTATCTCGTTCCTCGGTACAACGTGTGTAACTTATCGCAGTAAAAGTAAAAGATTTTTTTTTCGTTTTGCGTTACATATATAAGTCAAAAATAAATTTAACGTACTGTACAACTTTTCTTTAAAATTGTATACATATACATTTCATATATTTATATTCTTATACGACATGACATTTCTGTGCGCGAGTTAAAATTTCTTACATGTGATGTGTAAATTATTATGTACAACTCAATTGTGTTATTATTATTACCCATGCTAATGATAAACAGTTACATTTTTCTTGTAGTTGCTATACTGAAAGATTTATGGGTATTTGATTAAAAGAATAAAAGTATATTTCATAAATTACATATAGATATTCAATGTTGATATCCAAAAAATGTAATCACAATCGTTTGCTCTTGCTAATCTTATGCATGTAGATAATAAATCGTCCTGGAGTCTCGATAATATAAGATTATGTCTCTAACGATTGACACACAAAGATCATCATCGGTTAAAATCTTTCAACATTCGGAAAATATATCTCGCGTCTTACATGTTTGTCTCTTTCTCTCTAAAGCCCCTCGGGTCTCTACTTATACCTAATTATCGAATCAACATAACAGTTAAAAAAAATTATAATTCAGCCTTATATTTTTCATTCCTATAATATACATTTAATTGTATCATATAAAACTACAGCGAATTTCTTTCACATTTTGATGATGTAATTATTCGATCGAGACTCCTGGGTGTATATTTTAACGATTACAATTTTTTTTTTTTAATAACATCGCCGAATATTGTCGTTCATTTTCACACAATGCATAACATTGGACGTTTTGCGTAATTAATGATTATGTTTCTTTCGTGCAAACGTATTACCCGAGATATTGCTATAATCAAATAAATGCTATTCATAAAGCATTACTATTTTAATAGTAATTGTTATTCGAAAAGATCGTATATTATATGTACATAAAATAATTACAACAATTCATTATTTTAAAAGTGACATTACGGCGCTTCTAAAAATTCAAATTAAAAATGGTACTTGATACCAATTATATAAAACTTATCGACTTGTGAATACTCCTGATTACAATATATTTTACAATATAAATTTATTTTCTCTCCAAGTTTCGTAAGTTAGTTTCTTCAGAAGTTAGTAATTGATGGTTTGCAGTTACAGATTTATAGACAACTTTAAAAACATGCTATGACTAATTAGTGGAATGCGTTTTTTTTAAATAATGGCAGTCAGTCATATACAAGTTATTGACTTCTTGTAAGAAAAAGCGTTTTAATTATTGCACAATAGATCAATCAATAAGCCAACACATTTATTTAGCTATAGATATAGTATCTGGTAAGTTAGTTAGGAAAACGTATTTTTAAAATTGCATGAATACTTTACTAATACTGTTAGTTAAAGAACTATCGATATCATCACTGTACAAGCTCTTTTTGTCAGATTATGAATCACTTTTTTCCCAATTTTAATACTATGTAGTGTTTGGCTAATTTTTTCATGAACATGAATACCCTGTCTATGATGGGTCTCAGTCAGTGCTCGTTCATACATGGTTTGCATTGAGTGGTAACTACAAAGTAAAAATTTTTATTTAAATTAACAAAGAGAAGAGTGTTAGAGAAAAAAAAGTGAGAGGAACAACAATTCGCGAGAGAGCAGATTCACAAGTTGAATGGATGAAAACAAATCGAAAGATAAACGCCGAGTACATTTGTCTAAATTTTTTGTAAAATTATCTAACGTTTCAACAGTCTTGTCATGGAATGATGTGAGATGCTTTTAGCTCTAAATAAATTTTTAAATCTTATAGACGACGGGGACTACTTATATAAAATTTACATAAAAGTTCATTTACAGTTTTTTTCCCATTTCAAAAATAATTATTGTGCAAGTTCGATCAGCGAAAAATTACAATTGTATTATTCACAATTTATCTTTTGGATACACGGTACTACTTTCTTTTGTATTTATAAATTAATAATGACAAGTATCTTATCCCCAGTACATCTTAATCACAAAAAGTATCGATTTTAAACTTTACAAAAAAGTATTTCGTATTATATACAGATATGTTACAACTAATGTGCGATGAGAACAAATAAAATTTAAGCTTAATGCAAATTCCATAGCATACGCACCGACTCTTAGCACCAGCAAAACGTTTATACTTTTAACAAACTTTGCCTTGAATAATAGGAATTCATAAGTAATTCTTTTTTTCAAAAATAATTATAAATTTATAACTGCACATTTCGCTGACCAAACTTTAGCCTAATCATAGATAACACGCGTGTCAGCAAGGGTCATTTATTAGTTAAGCGCGTGACTATTTCGGCGACGTAGGAACACGCGGCTGTTGGCCGGATAGACCCTTGTGAGGAAAATGAGCGAGCTGCCGAGTGTCAACTTGACCGGTGCTCGAGCACCACCAGGTAACTTAATGAAGACCGTAGCGACAGCTGCAACTCCGTCGTCGGTCGGTTCCACTGCGACTGGCCGTACGTCGCTGTGGAAATTAACGATTTTATTTCGTCGGCCCTTGCGATGCGGTGAATTAGGACTACACTCGCTTTGGTTTGCCGATGATCCCTGAAAATAGACATTTAATAAGTTAGTAACAATTTTTTTTAAGAATTAAGAAAGATACCAAAGAATACGTACTTCTCTCTCATAAAGAATTGTTGCCGAGGCAAATGGTCTTTTGGCCATGTGCAACATCTCAACAACGTGCCTTCTTCTAGCTCTTCTAACATCGGCTGCTTGTTTCGTTTTCCAGGCAACTACGCAAGCTGCCAAGAATAAGAAGAAGCACGAGAAAAACACCGAGAAGAAGACAAAGAGATCTATGTGCAGCTGATCCTGACGGAAGAATATCATGCCGTACGCGGCACGTTTCGACGCATCAGTAGCCCAAGTGGGTTCGATAGCTCGTAATGCTATGTGAAATTTCGTTTGGCCAAGTTCGTGTTTGTCTTGCGGTAAAGTAAGTACGAGACGGTTGCTCAGATTTCGCACGAATAAAAACGTGTTGATTTCTTCGATCGTGATGTAAGTTGCAAAATCGTCTGCCCACCGTTCCATTACAGTGTACTCGAAACTTGGATTGCGCACGGATTCGCTGCCATTTGACATCAGATGATAGGAACTGTAAGGATAATAGTCGACCTTGCGATTTCGCATGCGTACGCCGCCAGGTCCGATATCGTCGGGCCAGTTATCGCGATCTTTGCGCCATTTGAATTTTTCGTCCAACTCGATCTAAAAAAAATTTTCCTTATAAATCACACCGAAACTCTAATGAGCAAAAGGTAATAAACATTTTTATAAGATTTATTACCTCTTGAAAACCAGTTGACGAATTCATTGTAACCACGAACGTATCGTCTCGTGGACTCAAAAAAAGATCTATTGCGCCTTGAGTAACATCGACCATTATTCGGATATCGACGTTCATAAATCGAGGTTGTATCATGTAAAATACCGATTGTCCTGGGTTCAATGGTTTTGGCTTTATTTTACACTCATCTAAAAGAAAAAAAATGTAACTTTAAAAATTGTATCGAAAAATTATTGAAACAACCATTTTCACATGTCTATTTTCAAAAGTTACAAACCATAGGGTCCTCCAGTTACAAAAACGCGGCATAAAGTTAATAATTAATAAGAATCATTTTTTTATAAGAAAAGATATCAATATGATCATAAATAAATTTAAAAAGTCAAATACATACCTATGAGCTTGGAATCGAAGCACATCTTGTTGTCGACAGTAACAGTTTTATAGCACTGATGACCCATCGTAGGCGTGCCGGCGTAATTTTCTTTGCACTTGCTGCATTGCACCATCCAACAAGGTGTAAAACCAGAATTTCCCCCTTTCGATGTTCCAGATGCACAAGCTGATTCAGTAAGACTTTCGGTATTATTTCTGCAATCGCAATTTTCTCCTGTCACTGGATCACACGTTGAACCGTGTCCATGGCATTCACACCTGAAATCAACGATTTATGTTATTTTCAACTTATTAGTTAAGAAAACATCAAATTTATTCAAGTAAATTACGGTCGGCAAACATCACGCAAATCTTCAGATCCCCTAAAGTAACCAGTGACACACTCGCCGCACTTATCACCTCGGGTATTATTCGCACAAATGATACATTTTGCCTTAGAAACAGGCCCTGCGCCAAGTTGCTTTTCCAGCAGTTCAATTGGCATTTTATCGAGAGAAGTTGGATCCTAAGAATTTAGCAAAAAAATATTACACAATTTTGTTGCAAAAAAGTTGATAAAACCTGTTGATGAAAATTTCTTGTAAACTAACCGGCACAGTTCTGTTCTCATCGATGCATATGTGAGTGTGTCCGTTGCAATATTCGAGGCAAGGCACACACTGCCCGTTGTCAGTGGGATTGCCAACGTAAAGTGGTTTACATTTATCACATTGAGGTCCTATCGTGTTGTTGTGGCATTCGATGCATTCGTCAAGTTTATCCGGCCCTTTGCAGTCGCTGTGACCGTTGCACTGGCACTGGATCGAACAGTTGCGTCCGACGTAGCCAAAATCGCATTGGCAAACGTCGGGCTCGACGCACGTGCCTCTGACGCAACCCTGAGTGCACATGGGGACGCAGGTCGTTCTGCAATAAAATTATAATCGGTAAGAAAACGATTCGATAATTTTCACTCTCGAAAATAGCATAAATTTACCTCGTGTATTTATCGTTCGAAGAATATATCTTTTCCGCTTTATATCCTTCACCACACATGCATTTAAAGCCTTTTTCCCAATCTTCGCATCTTTCGCTTTTCGGTGAGCAAGTATGATGGCCATTTTCACACTCGTTTTCAGGGGGGCAGCGCATGTAATTCCACGAGAATTTCAATGGTTCGCTTTGCAGTATGGTGGCATTGTTGTACGGCAAAGTTTCCATTGATGACGCTTTCGAGCCTTGAGTAGAATAATAAAAATTTATTAATGTCAGAACTATTATGTAAAAATTCATTTAAATTAATGTCGACTCTCACCATGCTCGATACGCGCAAACTGTTGTTGGTACAGCATTTCACAAGTACCACCAGCTGGATGCTCAGGGGGTTCTTCCTTCGAGCCTTCCGTACAAATGCCTTGTCCGGTGATGTTCGCCGAGTCCAGCGAACACCATCCGCAACGCGTTAGTTCCAAGCAAGTACTGCATTGTTTGAAGGTCGAGCAAGGTTCTGGACAATGGTCCATGTCGGTGTGTCGTAAAACAAGACCGCAAACTCCACCAGCACAGTATAATGGTTGATACGATGGGGATATACACTGAAAGTTAAGGTGTTTTTGTGAAAAATTGCAGTTATATTTAAATGAAATTCATATTTGCTTCTTATATCATACTTCATTGAGAGTCGTGGACCATCGGCATTCCTTCCAGCCGCCCTCAGCACCGGTTCCGGACAAGCAGCTTTTACAATCCTTGTGTTCAGAACACCTTTTCTCACACTGGCCACTTGTCATCTTTATGCTAGAGCGGGTAAAAATGTCTTCGGGTACGCAATTCCAATCGTAAACTGGTTCAGCGGTTAACTTTAAACCTAGCTCAGCTATAACAGAAATAAAAAAAAATTAATAATACTAATTTTAAAATTGTCGCATTGACATCAAGTTAACTTACGAGTTTTTAAAACTTGTCTCGTCCAAACGCAATTGTCGACGGTATTTTTGCATTTTTCGCAATCGCTAGCTGGACACAAGCGCTCGGTGCAGTCATTGACATCTTTGAAGCTCTTTTTCCAAGGCTTGCACTTGTTCGCCTCTTCGCAGCTTCGATCGGCTGGAATGCACTTGCCGTGACAGTCTATGCACCATTTGCAGACGGGCTCTCTCTCGTGATAGTAGGGCCACTCTGCCAAGCAATCGGTGCAGGTTTTGAAACTCTCGCACTTACGATTCATCATCCATTCTTGATTGCAGAAGATGCCGTTGGAGCGATGAGCTTTCGTCACGTTAACTTCGCACCTAAAGACAAACAGCAGTATTACATATCGGTATTCTTCGAATAGAAATGATTTTTTCCACGGTTCGTATTTCATTCTTACCTTTCGTCGCGACGCAGCGACTCTTCGTTCGAGAAGCAGTAAGCTAGGTTTTCACCGGATATCGTGGTGACAGAACAGAACGAGCAACCGTAGTACTTTCGACACGTGATCTTGTCCGTCCAGAGATTGCACAGATCCTCGGGTATGTGAATGAGCGTGACGTGACTCTTGATGCCGCCGTCGAAGCCACCCACGACGTAGACGGCGTTGCTCTCGGGTTCGGCGTGGGTCATGGCGTGCGCGTAAGCCGGCGGCGGTGGACTGCCGATGATTTCCATGTCCTTGGTGATCAGGCGTATCCACAGATTGCACGAGTACTTGTAAGCGATGAGCGAGTCCGTGGTGTTGTGAGGATTCTGACGACCGCCGAAAATCACCATGTACTCGTCCGTGGTTACGGCGGAATGGAGGAAACGCGCTTGAGGCTGCGTGGAAAAAGTAAAGCACATTTAGTAAACGATTGTGAAAATTAAAAAACTAAAAACATGAAAAAATGTTTAAAAATCTAGAAAAATTGTAGTTCAAGCAAGTCGAAAAGATTAAAAAAGTGATGCAAAAATTTGACAGCATCGCTGAATAAGATTTACGCGCGTACAGAATTTTCAAATCAAAACAAACGTAAAAAATTCCCAAAATGAAAATTCAACCGAAGATAAAGACTCTGAAGTTTCAATTCAAAAATGCATAGAAAAATTATAGAGGTACTCACGAGTGCCGTACTATCAAAGCCATCGTCGTCAAACGGTGGCAGCACCGACCACGTTTTGGTATCGAAGTTCAGAGCGTAAAGTTTGTTGGATATGAAAGTTCGGTTGATGGCGTAGGTGTAGCCACCGAAAACGTAGAAGCTGTTGGACTTGGCGTGGAACACGGTCGAGTGTCCGTAAACGCCCAGAGGGCCGTTGCCCGTGGTCGGCACCGTGTTCCAGCGCTCCTTCTCGAGATTGAACTGCCACACCGTGTCCAGATAGCCGTACTTCGGACTGAAGCCACCGATGAGCACCAAGCTCTCGGACTCGCTGCCGTCTCGGTACAGCGTGAGCGTGTGACCGGCCAGCGCGGGTGGCTCCCGCTTGTCGGACGACTCGTCGACTATCAGCGTCCAACGCTGATTCTGCAGGCCGAACTTCCAGAAGTCGCCGAGAGTGTTGTTTGTCAGACCCTGCACGCCCTCCTCTTTCATGGACAAGCCGCCGTAGACGTAGATCTGCTGGCGACTGTGAACGATCTCGGCGGCGTGGAAGTATCGGCCCTGGGGCATGGAGAACTCGGACGTCGATTCGACCGTCACCGGCATCCACGTGCTGTTTTTCGTGTCGAACAGTCGAATGTCGTTGAGAGGTCCGCGACTCAGCGAGTAGCCACCGAACATCCAGAGCGAGCCGCGCCGATCCGCTACCAGACTGTGCCCGAAACGCGGCAGAGTTTTGCGCAAGTGATCCATCTTATCGGTAAGATACTCGCTGTTGAAGAGTTCCGTAAAAACAAGCTGGTGTTCCTGCGAGAAGAAATTATATTCAATAGTAAAAATTTTATATTAAAAAAACGAAAGAAAATGAACATACTTTGATAGGTATAGAACAATCTCGGCCTCCGAAACCTGCAGTGCAGACGCAGTGTCCGTACTCTTTGTCGCATTCGCCTTGCTTCTTCGCGGACGAGCAGTTTTTCGGGCACAGCTCGATGTCGCAATCGATACCGACGAAGCCGGATCTGCATAAGCAATTACCGGCTCGACACTCGCGATTCGCCGGGCAATTGTCGCAGGTCAGTACGAGATAGCTGGCGTTAAAACCCTCGTGCTCGTAGAGCTGCTTGTAATGCACGGTGAGAAAGCCGGACTTGGCCTCGACCGTCACCGGATAGTCGGTGCTCTCGGTGCAGTAGACGCCGATCAGCTGGCTCTGATGGCCGTTGCTGCTCGACACGAAGCCCGGCAAACCGTCGTACACGTAGACGCTGTTTTCCTGGCAGCTGACGTTGATATCGTCGTGGATGGTGAACTGTATGACGCTCTGCGGCGCGCTCGGCGTCATCGACTTGCTCGACAGATCCGTCTTGGGCGTGACGATCCAGAGACACTCGCGAGTCGGCGCGCTGGCCAGATTGTTCTCCCAGATGTTGAAGCGCGAGTGCCGACTGCCGAGTCCCTGGCGGCGGCCGTTGCCCTCGCCCTCCAGCATGCTGCGCGACCTGCAGCCGTAGTAGCACATGCCGCCCAGCCGCGGATCGCCGTAGTAGCCCTTCTGGCAGAGCTCGCAGCGGTCACCCTCGGTGTTGTCGCGACAGAAGCAGACGCCGGTGCGCCGGTCGCAGGTGCCGAGCTCGACGTCGTCGTGCTCGTTGCAGTCGCACTTGCGGCAGCCGAGGCTGCTCGTGGCGTTGCCGTAGCTGCCGGCCTTGCACTCGTGGCAGAACTCGCCCTCGGTCCAGTTCTGGCACTCGTCGCAGTGGCCCGGGCCCCGCGCGCAGGTCGAGTGATTGTGACAGCCGCAATTGACGCTGCAGTCCGGCCCCGTCCAGCCGAGATCGCACTCGCACCTGTAGTCGGGCGCCTCGCTGCAGAAGCCGTGCACGCACTTCTCGTAGCAGGTCTTGACGCAGTTCTCCTTGCCGTCGCCGTTGAAGCCGCGCTTGCACTGGCAGCTGAAGCTGCCGTGGGTGTTGGTGCACTCGGCGTTCGCGTGGCAGTCGTGCAGCTCGAGCACGCACTCGTCCACGTCCGGGCACTGGGCGTAGGCCCAGCCGGCCTTGTCGCCCGCGATGCTCTTGTTCCAGTGGTCGTTGATGGCCTGGCTGCAGTTGCGCGCGTGATTGAAGTCGCCCTGCACGCAGGTGCCCGTGATCGGATTCTCGAGGCTGTAGCACCAGCCGCAGCTCAGCGACTGGATGCAGTTCGAGCAGTTGATGTGGCGGCTGCAGCTCTTGCACTGATCGGCGCTGCCGCCGATGGTGGTGGTGACGCCGTTGCGAGACGTGACCCCGACGAGGCCGGCTTGGTCGGTCCACTCGCGACACTGGCCGAACTGATACTCGGACGTGTAGACGGAAAAGGAGAAGCACTCCTGGGTCGCCTCGCACCAGACGCAGCGGCCGCGCTCGTCCAGGCACTGGGTGCAGTTGCTGCGCTGACGACAGGGTATCGGGCACTCCTGCAGGCTCACCACGGCCGTCTGCAGGCGACCTATGCGAGCGCATCTGGCCTCGTCCGTCCACCACTCGCAGATGCCGGTCTGCACGCAGGACTCGCACGATATGAAGTTCGAGCAATTGGCGCAGGTGAACGGCGTGATCGTGAGGTAGTGCCACTCCAGGGTGGTTTTGCCGCTCTCGTCGGACTCGACCTCGAACACGCAGCTCGCGGTCTCGTTGACCGTGCGCGACATGCACCGATTGTTGACCTCGCACCAGCCGCAGGCCGAATCGGTGAGGCAGTGCAAGCAATTCTTGTACTGCTCGCAGGAGCCGTTCTGATAGGGCTCGAGATATTCGAAGGTGAAAACTTTGGCGTTCTCGCCGGGTCGATTGTGGATGATTTCCATTTTTCTCGGATGCGAGTAGCTCGTAGTTGTGATCATTCGTTTGGATTCGAAATCCAAGAGGTAACGGCCACCAGAAAACGAAGTTACTTCCGCATCGTCGGAGTCTTCTGTTGTTGGCATTCTTACAGGAATACATTTTGGGGCTTCAGCTGACGAATTTGCAACCAAAATCTGTAAAAAAAATACATAAGTTATTATATTTAATATATTTAAAAATAGGAAAAATACATTATGAATCATAAAACCTACCAAATCACTGGTGTCGTTATTTCTCGAAATTTTCAACGTCGCGCTGTTGTAACTCACGCAGATCTTCAATTCCTCCCTGATACCCCAAATATTATGCGGCAGTCTGAGAAAACCAATCAGTCTCGCGATCATCTCTCCTCCCAACGACGTCTCGGTTTTCGGGCCCTGCATCGAGGGCACATTAAAGTCCACCGTGGTCGCGTTGACGATCGCGACCGAGTCCGGTTGGCTGAAATTCACGGGCGGCTTGTACTTGAGAAAAGTCAGTCCGGGTCTGCGATCCATCTCGCGACACTCGTTGACCCGCGTGACCTCCGTGCCTTTGGTGCCCCACCAGCCGGGTATCTGCGAGGGCGTGTCGTCGCGCAAGCCGCACACGCCGTAATTGTCGTCCTGATGGTGGCATCGGGCGTTCTGCACGCACCAGGTGCAGGTGCCGAGGCTGAATTTGTTGGATACGGACGAGCGGCCGCGCGAATTGGTGCCCCAGCCGCCGCCCGGTTGGCCGTGAATCAGACACGAGTGGCAGTCGCCGAGAGCGGGACAGACTCCGGGACATCGGCTGGTCTGCAAGTTCGTGGTGCAGTTGCTCACGACGGTGCGACCGTAGCAGCTCTCGTCGGTCGAGCACCAGCCGCATTCCGGATTGGCGGCGCACTCGAACAAGCTCTTGTGTCGAGAACAATATTGCTCCGGCTCGAGGGGATCGCTGTCGGCCGGTGCCAGCGTAGGCGGCAGCGTGTAAGCTAGTAAATCGGCATTGACGTTTCCGTGATATCCGCCGACGATCAATAAGGTATTACCGTCCCTGACATCTGCTGCGTGACCAAAGACTCCCTGCTGTTTTGGATATTGCGAATCTGAAGGAAAATCATTGAATCAAAGTCAATTGGCCAATTTCAAAATAATCCTCAATATATGACTTAAAAATGTTGCTTACCTCGATCGCTGGCATTCAGCACGTCTTGACTCACCCAAGCGTGACAGCCTAGATGATACAGATACATTTGATTATCGTAGCATATCTCTTCTTTATTGTGTCTGTGAGAATATCCTCCAAATACGACGAGATAATTGCCTGCAAGCGTTCATTGACAACATTGTAACGAGGAAAAAAGTATTTGTTTCTCTAATCATCGTTGAAGAGAAATGAGCGACTCACCAATTATGTTACAAGTATGAAATGCTCGCTCTCGCGGAACGTAAGTGTCGCGCGAGTGCCCCCGCGGATAATGGATTTCCGACCAGACCCGATGATCCAACTGAAAGGCGAACATGCGGTCGGAGAGTTTGCTGAAGCGAGCAACGCTCGCGATGACCCCGCCGTAAATAAGCAGCGAGTTCGTCGCTTTGTGATAGACAGTTGAATGAGCCACGAGCCTCACGTCTAATTGTTTTCCACCGCGAGGTCGAACTTCCTGCCATTTTTCTGTACTTGCCGTTGCGTCAGCTGCAGCGTTTCAATTTGCATTATGTAATACGCGCATTATCTCAATTGTTACAATAATTTTCTTTTCTTTTTTATTCATACTTACATAGGTTCAATTTGATTTTGTAAAGATTCGAAGAGAACACGCCGTCTTCTGTACTACCACCGAATAAATAAATATAATCTTCGGCTAATGTAAGCGTGTGCCTAGTCAATCTTGGCGGATAAAAAGGTGAATTTTTAGCGCGCAACGTCCACATAGATTTATTTACGTTGTAATACCACAGCTCGTTCGAGAGAATTCCCTCCTGTAATTTTCCGCCGTATATGACAAAACCACCTGATAAACATAAAATCATATTTATTCAAGCTCTTATCGACAGAGTCACAAGCGCGAATTTAATTACGACCAATTTACCTTTGTATTTACAAGCCGCATGCCCGTAGCGCGCGGCTGGTTTTGGAAGCTCCTCGAGGTTTGGCTCTGTCGATTCATCTTTTATTGGCAAGCGAGTACTGTATTCCAAGTCCAAGTTATCTTGAAGAAATGTGTTTTCATCTGGAGGACTTTCTCCGTCCCATTTTTCATTATTATTAATGCTGGAAATTGATTCTGATTGTTCGAAACGTTCATCTTTTTCCGAATCCCTTTTATGCCTACTATGCATTGGTCGAATTTTTCTTGTATGCTTTTTTCTTTCGAAAACATCATGAACATCAATATTGGCTTTTGATAATTGCGGTTTCTTTTCAGTTTCACTTTCTGAATTATGATTCAAGTCTTTCCATCCTGATTCGGATTCACCATTTATACTTTTATCTTTCAAAGAAGAAGTATTGTTTAAACTTAATAGAAGTTTCCAAAATATTGATGTAGGAGGGAGCCCATATTCTTTGTGGGCTCCAGTACCCATTTGTTCTAATTCTCTGGCAATTAACAATGGATCTAAATATTCATCAAAAGTTGTACCCTCTAAAATAAATAATATTTAACAGTGTTTCAATGTAATGAATAATTTTAAAATTAATTATAGAATTATTTTATGTACCTAACACATGACCATCTTCATCTTCCCAATGACTTTTGGAAAAACGATAAATTTCTAAATCACTCAATACATAATTGAGATTGTACCCTCCAAAAACATATAAAGAATCTACTTCACTAATATAGACAGCTGTGTGAGCAGCTCTAGGAGTCATACCACTTTCAGAATGAGCTAGCCAATGCCATCTAGAAAAAATTATTCAAAATTATTAAAATTTGAAAATATTTAATAAATATAATTGAACTTCTATTAGATGTATATTTAGAATTATTATTTACCTATTTCCTTCTGGGGTATATTTTTGTAGCGAACATGCCTGTCCAGAATAACCATTATGACATTCGCAATGCTTTGATCCACAAACACCACCAATTCCACAATTATTAGGGCAAAGTGGTCGAGAACAATCTCTACCTCCCCAATAATTTTCGCAAAAGCAAACATTTTTTATACATTTACCCCGATTTGTACAATTGTTTGGACAATCCGAAACAGAAAATTCTGCATTAAATCCATCCAAAACATAATTTGTATCACTGTACAATAAAATTAACATCTGCAAAAATACATAGTTTCAAATAAAAAAACCATAGTTTGACACATTTGAAATAACTATTTGAAACAGTTACTTACATATCCTGAAGAGGCTATAACTTGTTGCGGTTCTGTTTTACCACTAAAACTACCTAATAAAGGAGATTTAAAAGAATCTCCATCATAAACAAATATATAATCATAACTACATTCTGTACCCATTGTTCGAAAAGTTAATGTTATAAACTGATGAGTGTTTTTGGCTGAAAGCAATTAATTATTTTGATAAATAATTTTTTATGTACATATTAAAGATCAGAAATGAATAATGCAAGTTAAAATTACTAATGTTACCTTTGATGAGCCATTCGCAATGTGAATCCTGTGTGTAATTTAAGCCTTTGGGTCCATCGCTGATAACTCCCCAAGGCTCCGTAAAGATTTTTCTTGTTTTGTCGCATGGCACTAGCTTGGACGATTGAGGTACCAAATGCAGGCCCTTCAGCAAGCTGCTCCAGGTAGCAATCCATAATGCTGTCGTAATCACCCAACCCATCACACTGCCACCGAATTTACTAGACTACTTGACTGGATTATAATCATCACGACAGTTCACCTGCAAGTGCTTCACTGATTCACCTGTAAAGTATCGTTCAGAATTAAAGTTTGCACACGCTGTTCATTGATTAAAAGAATTCACTCGAGTAATGTTTCCAGCTGCTCGAACATCTTTTTTTAAACTCGAATACGCGAGTTTAAATTTTACATTTTTACATTCAGGTGTAAATCACGAGATAAAACATTTGTTTAACGAGCTGTGAAATTGCAGCTACGCGTCCGCGTGCACGCATGATATACATGTAAAATAAACAAGGCTGCAACAAAACAAGGACAGCACAACAAAAGCGTATACACAAATCAATGCTAGAACACCGACTATATATTGACAATGACAGCAGCTCTAGGTTCGTGTACCTCGGCTCGAGCTGTTGCGCGACAATCATAAACACTCATTTGTCGAACGCACACTTGAATATGTCACTCTCTCTCTCGGCGTACCTATACTACAACGTCGTATACAATCGTATCGATCAACGAAACTCCGCATTCTCTCCGTTTATAATGAGCATCGAGACGTCGAAAAAAAAACGAGGCGAGAGTGTTATACCAAGAATAAACACAGCTCCGTCTTATCTCGCGTTAATTTCTGAGGAACGATTTATCTCTGATCTATATGATCTTGGGCAAATGTTTGCCCCGCGTGTCATCGGAGCGCGCGTATCAGACGAAAATTATTAAGCCTCTCTACCTCGGTGGTGCGTTTATCAAGTGCACACACAGTGTTCGCGTATCACATAACCTTGAAATCTCCATAAAAATATCGAGTAACGCGGGGGACATGTATAAGAACTGCTGCGCCTGCCACTTGAGAGTCGCACTCGAATCAGCTGCTGCTACCGAATCCGTCACCCAGTAATATGCACTGTCTCATAAGAGTGACACATCGAAAAGATCACACAACAAAAATTACCACTGCGTATTCGATCATTCGTTTCTGCTGCGCTCATATCCGAACCCTCGTAAACAAACTCGTCAAATCACCGTGAAACGCATCCTCGCCGTGTAGAGACAGAGATATGATGCAGCTGCTGCTTCGGCGTCCGTCAGTGCACTGCACCCGCTGCTGCTGCTGCTGCTTCTCGAGGAGGAATAGCCGTGCAACGCTCCGCTCCGTTTTTTTTTTTTCGAATAAAATAATACAAAACAATGCAACTCGAGACACGCGTGCACTCGGTTCGATTCGCGACTTCGCTGCACTGCACACTTTTTATTGTTGTTGTTTCTTATATATCATTACGCTCTCGATAAGTCATAATCTCGCAGTGTTGTGGTGTGTTTGCCAGTGCGCGCGCTGCGCCTCTCGCTGAACCTCGGAGCTAACTCGAAGCGCGCAAGATTTTTCACACTGCATTCGTGAGTGTGTGTGTGTGTGTGTATGTGTGTGTGTGTGCACCACAAGGCAAGGAGCTGCTGCTGCCTCATGCAGCAGTCGGCGCGATATAGAGGAGGGAGAGAAAGAGAGCGATGTACTCTGCACGCTTGTTGTTGTGTATACACATCGACGACTCGCAGAGAGTTGCAGAATTTCAGCGATGAAATTTTGTCGAGCGTCACGATGATTACCCCTTTTTTTCGAGACAAAAATTTTTCTCGGATAACGGAGAATTTCCAGACCTTTCCATGTAACTATATAGCCGTAGACTGACTGAGAACCGTAGCGAAAATAGTATTTGGAGAACCGAAAATAATTATTTGTTCATGTATGGACCGCTGCAGCTATGAAGACGCCGTTTCACGTCAAAGCCGTCCATTGATTCGACTTTTTTTTCTTTTTCCTTTTTAACGTTTTTTTGTTTTTGTAGTGGTAAATTGCAAATGCCCCGAATTTTAAACAGATGATTTTGCCTAAAAAAAATGTAATAAATAAAAGAAAAAAAATTTGTTCATAAGTAAGTATAGCAGAAGAGAGCAAATGAAAGAAATTATTCGAATGGATTGAACAATCTGTAACTTTTAATAACACCAGCATTGTAAATAACAAAACAAATATTCATTATACCAACACTATTAGTCTAGTTTCTGCTTTTTTGAAGCTTTTCGAACCCTCGTGGTTCTCTTGTTATTACATTTTATTACATTGTCCTCATGAATTGTGCTTTCAGCTGCCAAGCAAATATTCCACAAGTCTTCATTCATTAGATTTTCAATGATTATCTCACAGCAAAGTATTGGCAGTCGGTTATGCGTCAGCTCCAAGAATGGCTCCAGTGCCCATTCCCGGAAAAACCTTTTTGACATTTTCTCGCATAGATGCAAAATACAAACCTCTTCATACTCTTCGTCGAGGTCGCACTCAAAATCACCCACTGCCCCGTGCTCAAAATAATCCTCAAATGTGAGTCGTTTTTCAGCCTCTTCGGGTCTTAAGTGAATCAGATCGTAGAGCGACAGGATCCGTTTTTCATCCCATGTCTTTTTTGCTTCTCTCGATACTTCGTCGTCTTCAGAATCACAGCCTAATTCGTCGGCGAGCCACATTCTTGGATATATCCATGGCTCTTTCGCTTCTTTCGCGAACTCCTCGTCGTTGAAACATTTTTCAACGTCCGTTGACTTTTCGAACATTTTGTACTTGACGAAAAATTTCATGATAGTCATGGCGTCACTTCGCTCCATTTGATATCCTCTTTTCTCAAGATGTTCGACGACGCCCAGAGCCCCGGACGCCAGTCTCAATCTAAAATCATCCCATCTCGTCTCCAGCCACGGTTTCGACCTGAAGTCATTCTCAGCTGGGAAAACGAATTTAGACAAATCAGCGCCACGATCTAAGAGCACGCCGACCATATGCGGCAGAAAATTCGACACAGCTATAAACAGAGGTGTCCGACCTCGATTGTCGAGAGGGTCGATCGGCACCAGATGATTTTTTTTTTCGCAGGTCTTGAAAAAGAAGTCCACCACGTTGTCATCGTCTAATTTGTTGGCAATCATGTGCAGAGGTGTCAATCCCTTTGCATTGACTAAATTGGGATCTGCGCCGTTTTTTAGTAGCATCTCAAACACCTCCTCTTGGTTGTAATCCAGAGCTAAGTGCAGAGGCGAATCACCTGTTTTTGGCACGACGCAATTGGGATCTTGCCCAAGCTTGAGAAATTTCTGGACGACTTGGCCACAGCCATACTTGCAGGCTGCGTGAAAATGTGAAAATCCAGATTCGTCGGTGTAGTTGACGTCGAACCTGTTATATATTTTGAAAAGTTTACTGGCGAAAAAACTACCTATTCCAAGGTGCAGGGCAGTGGTACGACGCAACAGTGGCTTGCTGTTTTCATCGAGCTCGGGCTCGTCTTGATAGTCGGTCCTGGTAAAAAAATCGATGAAACGATCTGCTCTGCGTCTACTCTTAACTGATTTGGTTGATGCGAACTCCTTGAGAATCAAATCAATTTCTTGATTTCGAAAAACTTCACGGAGATTTGGAAATTGTCCCTCCCAACGTTTGATTAAGGAATTTAGCGAACGGAGAAATTCACGTCGATTTTCCTTAATTTCCCAATTGACACTTTCTCGTAGGCTCTTCAATTTTGCCAAGTTAAGTTGACCCTGATGATCGAATTCGTCGTCAGACATTTTTCAGCTCGCTCACGGATCAAAAACACAACCACGCAGTTACACAATCGCTTATAATTTAAATTATTTTTCACTTTTTTTCTCGAGAATCACTAGATGCAAACGATCTCCTTTTTTAAGTAACTTGTACTGACTATAAGATGCACTACGATGTGATCTGTGTCAACTGCGAACTACAAGTTACGACGTGTCGTTGTTTTGATGGCGAGCAACTCATATGAACACGCACAAATAACAGAATAGGGCAAAACAATTAAGTGCAGTGACACGGTAGAAAGAACATACTCGATCTACGAACACATGACTGCGAGCGCTACTACAGTACAGCCGTGTGCGGCGTGTTGTGCAACTCTGCCGGCAGGCAGATGCGAAACAGAATCTGGACATCCATGAGCATCGACGAATTACGATTTACAATTCAAAACGCGCTAAAGATTCTGCCTCGCTCTCACTCCTCGTAGAGACCCTATATGCTTCTGAGATTATCGCGCTTAGGCTAAAAAAAGGGCACGACTTGACCTTGAACGACAAAATCACCAATTCAAGTACACAAATAATCGAAATTATGAGCATCGAATCAGCACGAATCCTGAATCGTTGGTCGGACGTTCCAACGAGCTATTTTTGAAAATGTACGTTGGTATCGGCCGCGAACTTTCGAACGCGACCAACATCGCAGCAGTCGATTCGCAGTCGCATCGCCTACTGTACGACACTTGTAACCCCCCGTCATTCTCAAAAGTGTTTAGTCCGTTAAATTATTTACCCTTATATCGTTCGAGTTTGTGCGAATAATCGACAAGAAATCATCATGGCCTTCCTACCTCAGCATCTGTGCTCCCTGCTGAAACTCGACGATCTGGTGGAGGCCCTCGACGATGTCCGTGGCTACGATCAACGAGTGCGACTAGTGCTGAAAAGCCTACAGGCCAATTTCGGCGGCATTCCACTGGATCACGTCCAGAGTGAGGCCAAGTCGGCCGAGACGAGCGAAAATCTGAGGCGTCGGGCCGATCGACTGATGCTCGGGGCCGGTTGCCGAGACGAGGAGTGGTTTGCCGCCCTGGACATGTATCAGCGAAGCGTCGCCCGAGCCCCGCCCAAGTCACCCGAACTCGCCCGAGCCTACGGAAATCGATCGACGGCACTGCTGAGACTGAACAAACCCCAGGACTGCGTCAAGGACATCGATCTGGCCCTGGGGATCGGCTACCCGGAGCATCTCAGGGCGAATCTGCTGCGCCGAAAGGCCAAACAGCTGAAGAAGATGGGCAGACGGGAGGAGGCCGACGCAGTGGCGGAGGAGGCGAGGCTGTGGCTGGACAAGGTCCAGCTGATGGACCGCAAGAAGCGACGTCTGGAGGAGAGAATCGACGCGGCGACCCGAGATCCCGACTACGAGACGCCAGAGTCTCACAAACGACAGCTGCAGCGTCTGGATCTGGCCTTGGACGACGGGGAGAGACACCCCCAGCTGGACAACTGCTCGACGGCCGTCGATCTCGATTACGACGCAGCCTCGAGGGGACGACATCTCGTCGCCACGAGGACGATTCGACCTGGTGAGCTTTTGGTTTTGGAGCCCGCCTACGCCTCGTGTCTGGCCACCAAGAGGATCTACAGCCACTGCTCCCATTGCCTCGCGAGATTGTGGCATAGCGTGGCCTGCGACTCGTGTGTCTCGGCCCTCTACTGCTCGGACGAGTGCAAAACTCGAGCTTGGCTCGAGTACCACGACTACGAGTGTCAAGTCAGGGCTCACCTGTTGGCCATGTCGATGAACGACACGATGATATTCGCGCTCAAGTTGACCATCAAAGCCGTGAAGGAGTTTGGGGGTGTCATCAAGTTAAGGCGAGAAACAAAGGATATCGCCAAGTGCGAAGGTAATTACTACTTTTTTTCATATTTTAAAGCCAAGTTGAACAATGAAATCTCGGAATTTTGCAGACTACCTGGCCAAGAGCTTCTCCAAGGACGGCGTTTACCGGAGCGATCGATATCGGGCTTGCTACAGTCTGCTGAGCCACTCGGACCGTAGGAGGGATCGCCACGAGCGGGTGCAATTATCACTGAGCTCGGCACTGATTCTCCATTATCTGCTCAAGCTGACGCCGATTTTTTGCGGCTTAGGATCGATGCGCCAAGGGGATGAGGATATCGTGGCTGAGCTGTACGACAGTCGTGAGGCTCTGTTCGTCGGTAGGCTCATCGTCCAGCATTACATGCAGCTTCAGATCAACGGGGCTTTGGTATGACAACTATTTTGTAGACATTAATATTTTTGGTTGTACGAGGCCGGAGTTTTTAAAATCGACTGTTTTTTTGTAAATTATCACAGTTCAACGAGTATCGAGACTTTGAGTACTTTCCAATAGGCGGAATGCTCGGGCCCGTCATGAGCCTGTTGAATCACAGCTGCAACCCCAACGTCGCCAGGTGCTCCTTCATCAAGGACAAACGAATTTATCAAGCTGTTTACGCACTTAAAGCAATCGACGAAGGTGTCGAGGTATAATAACGAATGAATCCCTTATAATAATAAGAAAAAAATTTTTCGATTATTACCTCAATTAATTACAATTTATTATAGTTGGTTGAAGATTACGGCTGTCGTTTTCCTGGTACACCGATCGAACAAAGAAGAAAAAAATTAGCGCCTTACTTTTTCACTTGTACATGCGAGGCCTGCGAAGGCAATTGGCCACTGATCGACGATCTACCGTCCATCATTGTATGTTTATTTCTTTATTATTTTTTCAATTACCTGTCATTAAATTTGAAAATAAACAAGAACATAAGAATAGTTACATTTTTTCATTCATTTCTATAGTCGCTCGTACCTGAAAAGAATAAATGTTTGGAGGTCGTTCGAGCCGTTGTTCGAAGCAAGAGATGGGAACGGGCTATTACGAAATTGGGTCTGGAGTATTACACCGATGACAAGATGGAAATACTGCAGACTTACATCGATTCAATCTCGAGAGTGAACGCGATAACCCGAGAACCCAGCAGAGAATTAACGGACATGCTTGAGCAATTTCGTCAATGTTTCTGGTACATCTATGGAAATCAATTCGATTATATTCCATTTTTATCGTGAAAATGAAAGACAAATAGTTACACAGATTATTTTGGATTTCTTGGAAATCGTAATGTATATTATTAGTCGGTGAATTCGATAAATACAATTAAATACTCTTTTTATATTTCAAATCGATGACAATCGATCACTATCTATCTAAGATATTCATTATTTGCATAACGTGGAACATTACATGCTCATCTTTATACATAATTCATTTAAGATAATTTAAAAATAACAATACGATCAAACGCAATTTGTACAATTTGATTACAACTACATACGATAGATTCAATAATACACGCGCACGCATTTGCAAAACTATAATATCTCACTCTCAGTTAATTGTTCATTTTATTATTTTCTCATGTTCACAAGAAACCGTGTGCAGCGACGGCCGCCGGTATGAAACCCTCGCGGCCGTCCTTGGCGCGCACTCGGTATCTGCCGTCGGCGTCGGGCCGATGCTCGCCCAGCAGCAGTACCACCTCGCCCTTGTTCACGCTCAAAGCGTCCGTTGCTGACGACACCTGATCGAATCGCGTGGGCTGCTGCTGCTGTTGCTGCTGCTGCTCGGCTTGGTAATTTTCTCGCACGAGCAGCAACGTGTGCAAGAGCCTCTTCTGTTGCTGTAGTTGCTGCTGGCTACCGCTGCTGGTGGCGATCTTTTTTTTCGATGCGCCGCTACTGCGGCTACCACTGCCGATTTCACTGGGGCATCGCGAGGCCGTTGTCGACGTGCTCGGTGTACCCGACGACGAGGACAGCGACGACGTAGTCGATGACGTCGACTTTGGATTCCGACTCGGTATGGCCGACTGCGGCCGGCGCTGTCGTAACGCCGACGAGGCCGATTTTCGCCCTCCGCACTCGGAACGCGTGTCCTGCAGCTTCTCCATGTCCGTTAGATTACCTACGAAAAAATTGAAGCAAACGCGTCATTATCGGTCGTTCCAACGATCAGCAAACGAGGAAGTTACAACGCAAATAATTACCCAACGGTCGTGGAAAAACGTCGGTAGGATCGTCCCAGCAGTGCTGTCTCCTGCTGGTGGCGCCCGACGTCGACGTCGAAGCGGACGACGACGCTGACGCCGACGCCGACGACTGGGGCAGTATGCCGAGCGGCAGGCAGGCCGTGTAATTGACGTAGCCCTCCTGGCCGTGGGCCGTCTGCACGTACAGCCAGGCCTGATTCTTGAAGACGGCGTTGACGACGCAGCCGAGCGGCAGCGCGAGCTCGGCCTGGGTGCCGCCCTGCGTCTGGTACAGGGTCGTCGGGAAGGTGAGCACCACGGGCACGTTGGCCGGCTGCTCGATCGACGCCTTGGTGAGGAACGAGTCGAGGTCGGCGATCGCGTAGCAGCCGAACTTGGACTTGGAGCGCTTTTTTCGCCGGTTGTGTCTACCGACGCTGCTGCTGCTGTTGCTGCTCGTCGACGCTGTCGTCGTCGTCGTCGTCTTCGTCGTTTTGTTGTTGATGTTACCGTTGTCGCGAGCATTGAGATTCGGCTCGGAAATCGCTCGCTTGACTTTGTCGTCGTGGCTGGCGATGGCTTCGTTGCCGCCCTTGGCAATGATTTCGTAGATGTTCTTGCTCGCGTTGGCGGCGGCCCGCTTCTCTAACTCGTAATCTTTGGCTGCGACGTTCTCGAAACACTATACGAAAAACAAGTTCAATTATACATTTCATAAATAAGATTCATTCTTTAATTCGTTGTGCTTACCGTTTCCACAACTTCGATGTTGTCTATCCTATTGAGCGCCGCCGCGTCGACAGCGTTCGGCATACGATTCTCCTTGTTGTCTCCGGCGTTGTTCCTCGCTCGCTCGGCCGCGGCGGCTTTCTTCGCGTTTTTCATACTCTTCAGGCTCTTGACGCTTTTCACGCTTTTCACGCTGCGTCGGAACATGCGCTCCTTCTCGACCTCGCGTTCCTTAACTACAAACAAATAAAAGTCGTCGAATGAAATTGTTGTCTCGATGCATTATTCATGAAATTTAATTATCGTTCTCTAAACTCACCAGCTGCTCGTTGACGATTGACCAGCTCCTTCTGCGTGTGAATCTCGGCGCGAACGTCCTGCACCCGTTGACTGTTGCTCAGAGAAAACTTGCACTCGGTGAGCTCCATCGAGTTCGCGTAGATCAAATCGTTGTTGTTGTTATTATTATTCTTGCTACTACTGTTGTTGTTGTCGTGATGATTGTGATAATGATTGTGAAAACTATGTTGATACTGCTGCTGATGCTGATGTTGTTGCTGAAGATGAGGCTGATCTCGCAGCACCCAAGTCAGCGATATCTTCGGCCTGAGAAGGCCAAGACTGCTCGATTTCTGTCCCATGCCGACGTTTTCGCGTATATTTTCCTCGTTATTCCGTTCACCGCTGCGGCAATTCTTGTCGCTACTTGTGTCGCTCGGTGAAATCGTTTCTGTATCTATCGGTGCTGCTGCCGATGCTGCAGCTGTCGCTGCTACGGGCAGAATCGTTACGTCGGCGTTGGCCGGCTCCGGGCAGTCCGCCACCAAGTCCACCGTCTGTACCGTACTCCCATCTTCCTGCAACTGTGTGAAAAAACAACAAAATATAATAATTATTAAAAAAATTCGGATTCGTTAAGGATCAAGCATCCGTGCAAGCGTTAATAAGAAAAGAGCCTCGGCGTATCGAGTTCCTTGGCAAAGTAACTGCGAAATCGCACCCCCGCACACGTATGCACGCGTACTACACGTGTAAACTGCATTCACATACGCGATGTATTTTACACGAGCTCGCGAAGTCACGCGAAGTATATAATAATCGCGAACGACGTGCGCGAGAGTCGGCGAACTGCAAATATGCGGCGAAACCGCAACGAAGAAAAGTAAAAAAAAAAACACGTTAATCGGGGTCGAGCACACGTCGGCTTCGTTACTTCTCAAAAACTTCGAAAAGTCGTATTACGGAAAGAAGAAAACGTCACAATAAATGCACTTCGTTCGTGTGTACATGTGACGTGTGCCGGAGATCTCTCTCTCATTCGAGAGAACTTGATTTTTCGAAGCACACATACCTTTCGCGAGCGAAAAAAGCCATTAAGTTTGAAGTCTCGCGCTCGCGATATTATGTTATGCACTTGGCAGTCGCTCGCGCGGTGCATTAATAATAATCGCGTTGCCCACGTGTGTTAAAGTATACACATATAAATGTACGAGTGAACGTTTTATTGTGGCTTTGATCGAGGCAAAGTACATATCGCGCGCGATACACACACACACACACACACACACGTGCTAATGTCTTCTTCTTCTTCTTATTTATTTATTTATTTTTTTTTTCGGCGAAAGGTAGAGAAGAAGAAAGAGAGTGAGATCTCAAAGTCGTACTTCGCGGCTCGCGCGATAAAAACTTAATTGCGTATTATCGCATACATCCGAATGCAGCAGCATCAGCATCAGCAATAATAACAATAATAATAATAATCATCACAATAACGTAAGTAAGCTCAGACAGACACGTGCTTGAATATGAAGTACGTATTCGATTTTTTTTCTTCTGACTTTGGCGAGATAATATGTATACGTGCTGTTAAGTTGCCATCTTTCTCTCTCTCTCTCTCTCTCTTACTGCCTCTGTCTCGCGCGTGCAAACTGCAAAGAAAGAGAAGTCGAGAGAGAAAGAGATGAAGTTTCGTTCTCTCGTCTCGTCTCGCGCGAGGCATTTAATGCGAAGTTTAAATTGGTGAAACGAATATAACGCGGAAGTTGTAATCTCTCCCTTCTCTCTGCATGTGTCATGCCGGGAAGAGAAGAGATATTTAAACTTGCCACTTGGCTCACGAGCAAAAAGTGAAGTTTTAACGAAGTATCTAATTATACGAGTGTAAAAAAGTTCGTATACAACTATACTTGGATTTTTCGTAATTGAAATTCAGAAAAATGAGCAAAACATAGATTTACCCCATTCATCCAAAGCTCGCTCGCGATTGTAATTATGAAAATGTTTAATGGTCGCACGAAATCACGTATATGCCAAGCTGCGTATAGTTGTGAATACAGCTCGCGCGCACGGGATAAACTAACGGGGCAAAACGGAAAAGGTAAGAAATGGCATACACAGAGATAGATATATGTATATGTGTACACGGCGGAGAGGGGTTTATCCGTGCTAATGAAATTCTCAAGATGGATATCGGGTGAAAAGTGAGCAGCGGCAGCCGAAGCTGAACTCGAAGCGCTGCACCGAGAGAAGATATACAGAAGCATTTGTATTATAAGCTCGTACACGATCCTCTCTCGTCGCGCATATATATATATGTATGTAGGTACGGGCTCGCGCTTGACGATCTTATCTGCAGATGCTGCTGCTGCTGTTGCCGCTGCACACTGCAGACAGACACAGAGAGAGAGAGTAGAGTCGTATTATTTTGCCCTCTCGCGAGACTCGTGGTATTATAGAATGCGACTCGAACCCTCTCGGTGTATGATAGATGCAGGGACAGCGCGCGCGAGAGTATACGAAACGGGATAATAATTCAAAAATTTTATTCTCGCGGATATTGTGTTGTGTATATAAATGTTGAACAGCTCACCCCCCTTAGATCTCCACGCGTTTATTAATTGTATCGTCGATGTATACTCGATCTTCTTCCTTATTTTTTCTCGCTTAACGGATGCTCGTGTTTTTTGCATAGGTACATACATTTTTCCATCTATCTCCATTCTATCGGAGCGAAGCGGATGTACTTTTGCCGTCAATAATACGCGACGATATAAGAAAAAGGTATAATATCGATCTTGCAATTAAGCCGGGCGCGAAAGACGATTGTTGCGACTTTTCTCAAGCGCTCGAGCCCTTATTATACACGATTGTCAGTCGGTAACGGGCGATTATCGGTAACCGGCTTGTGCGCAAGGGTGCGGATGATCCTCGAGGATAGCGACTCTTCCTTTTTTTTTTATTAATAAAATACTCGTGCGCGCGATTTGCCGATATTTTTAGAACTTTAGGTACACTCTTGGCGTTATTGGCGTCTCTCGTTTTAGTAGGACACTTGGAAAATATAATAAGCCGCGAGCTCGCGTCGATATTACTTATATATACGCGAACACATTTACGCGTTTTCATATCGCTGCACGGAGCGACGCGATGAAATTCTCCCTTTCGTTGGCGCGTAGATGCATATTATAATATGTATATATATAGCGCACGATTAAACGCGTTTTCTTTTCTCTCTCGCTCTGCGCTCCTCGAGTATTATAATATCTTATTAACACTCGGCGCGCGCGCGAGAGCAAAATCCCTTCGCTAAAAGCCCTCTCTTGTCGCGTCTTTAAGCAATATATATATACAATGTATATATAAATGCAACGTGTGTATGTATACGTTATAAGCATCTCCGATCGGCGGCGGCGGCGCGGAGCCAGACGATATCCTATTTTTTTATTTTTATTTTTATTTTTATTCTTCTTATCGACAACGGCGCTTGGATGTAATTCCGATTACGGCAGCTCGCAGACAAGTAGTTCATCGCTATATACAGTGAAGTGTACGCGTCTGAGTGTGTGTAAGTGTGCATTATATATATATATAGAAAAACATAATAATATATATCGTACAGACACACACGTACACATTCTTGCGAAGATGATGATGATGATGATGATGATGATGATGATGATGATGATGATGATGCAGAACCAGTTTTAACGCGAATTACCTCTGCCCTTTTCTCCGCGCGTATATATATTTTATATATTATAACACACATCCGCGTGTGCTCGAGCACACCGCACACGTGTATGTATACTATACGCCGCAGACACTCATGCACACTCACACAATCACAGGGAGCATCTCTAGAGAAAGAGAAAGAGCGAAAAAAAGAAGAAATACTGTGGGCGGCTTCAGCGAGCGAGAGACTCGCGAACTTCATATAACGTATACGCGCGCGGGATGATTTGTGCTTTTAACCGAGGGCCGACCCCGTGCATAAACACACACACATATACACACAGACAGACGTAAGAGAAAGAGCACATCGCGTGTTTTGCGCGTTATGTTACACGCGAGTGTACGGCTGCTCATATATAGCCACATACGTGTGTATTATATAGTACGCGTTGCATGATGCAGCATCGTGCCTATTCGCGTGCAGGTACAGAGCGCATAGAGTATCCTCGCGAGAAAGAAACATTCGTATGTATACGAACATAATATGCAGCATGACGATACACCGAACGCCCCCCCTGAGATGGGGTTCGAAAAATATTCCAATTTTTAACTGGCACTAGATTTTTTGGTTTAATAATTTATGAATATTTCCATATAGCACACAGCGTATTTGTTATCTGCCTCGTTGTTGTTGAATATCGTATACCGAGTGGATTTTTTTTTCTTCTCTTCGTCTTTCCAAGACGAGATTTTTATTAAAAGAGGCGCGAGCTGAGAGCAAAAAAAAATAATCCAGAGCAGCAGGGCAGGTGTCTGAGCCCGCGTCTGCATTATACATGTATATTGCAGCACGAAACTTTTTGTATACACGTATAGCCCTCTCGTCCGGCTATACGGTGCAGAATACGAGAAATTAGTTTTTGGCTTACACACACACACGCCCGTATACGCAGACAGCAAAGAATATTATATTCATCCTACGCGGCCGAGGCTCAAATTGAAAACTTTCCACGCGTCCGTTGCGTTGTTTAATAATACCTTGATATCGAGCCGATCGGCCTCGTTATTCGTCGTTGCGCCGCAGATAGAGGAGGAGGTGGTGGTGCTGCTCTGGTGGCTGTTGGCAGTCGGGCTGGTGCATAGGGCCGTTGGGTTCTGCTCGATGCCGCAGCCGTTGCCTTTGCCGTTGCCCTGCTGCAGCAGCAGCCGAGACAGTCCCAAGGCCGACGACGAGTCCTTATCGACTGCGGCGGTCGATCGTCTCGCGATGCCGCCGTTGGACGACGATGTGCTGCCGCCGGTCGCCGTCGTCGACTTTTGCCAAGAGTAGCGACGCTTCAGATCTCCTGCAATGCAATAAATGAAACAAATTAAATATACCATTTTTAGTGAGTTATGCAATTCGATTTCGTCGTTGACTGTACTATTATCGTGTTAAAGCGTAAAAACTAGCGCGAGGATCGAGTTCGCGGAGACGCGCGTTTTTTTCGCGCGCGAACCAAACGTTAATTGTTTATGCGTAGACGCGCGCACTTCTATTACGGTGAAACTGGTCACGCACGGCTGCAATTTTTTTTATAACTCTCCATCGCATTACGTACGTATCTTATATCGACAATTTCGAGCGCCCGAGTTCTTGCGTACGGATACACGTGGCAGCAGCATAGAACTGTCCTAAATTTTTTGCCCTCGATCCCCTGCTCTTTCCTCTCTCGGACGCGCGTCTCTGGCCTGCGTCATTACCGAAAAAAAAATTAGTCGCGTGGAGTTCGCATGCAGGAGATACCGAGAAACGCTCGTGGCGAAGAGAACGTTTAAAATTAAAGAATTTTCAACATCAGCCGTTGATGCGTAAGTATATTGTGAAGGATACGATTAAAATCAATTCAAGTCGATTAAATCAAAAAGTTCATGTTTTATTTATTAATAACAGTTTCAGGCAGATCTTTGCCGGCAGCCGCCAAGCAGATACGCCACAGATCCTCGTTCGGCAGATACTCGACGATCATCTCGCAGCAGAGACTCGGCAGTCGTTGACTCGTCGTCTGCAGCTCCAGGAAAGAATTCAGCGCCCATCGTCGACAAAATCTTCGCATGATGATCTCGCTCAGGCGCGTGGCACAAGCCTCGCTTGGCCATCCGGGAGCGTACCAATAGCTGATCAACTTATCTACGTTACTAATTATTTTGTCCAAGTACTCCTTGGGCATGGGTACTCTTGGCACCTCTTTCACTGGTAATCGTATCAGGTCGTAGAGCGTCAGATCCGGATTGATCATTATCTCTTTCGCTTCTTTCACGAACTCCTCGTCTTCGTACCACGAGGATCGTTCGGTATCCGATGACTTCTCGAAAAATCCGTGCTTGGCGAACGACGACATGATCGTCAGAGCGTCGCTTCGGTCCAGCTCGTATCCTCTTTTCTCCAGGCACTCGACGACACCCATAGCACCGGTCGCAAGTCTCAACTTGAATGCAAGAGATGCTCGTGGATATCCTTGATTAAATCTCTCGTCGAACTGACTCTCGGTGGGAAAGACGAATTTGGACAGATCGGCGCCACGATCCACGAGTAGATCTATCATACTCGGCGCGAAATTCGCCACGGCCAATCGCAGCGGTGTCCAACCCAACTTGTCCACGGCGTCGACTCGCACCTGCAGCCGTTTTTCGTCGCAGGTCTCGAAGAACAGCTTCAAGTTTACGTCGCCGCCGAGGAGCGTCACGCACAACGAGTGCAGCGGCGTCCGTCCTCGATCGTTGGCCAGATTTGGATTGGCGCCATTCTTCAGCATTACCTCGAACAAACCTCCGGAGTCTATGGCGACGTGCAGCGGCGCGTTGCCCATCCTGTCCTGGGCATCCATGTGCACCGACCGATTCGTTTCTGCGCTGACCTCGAAGAACGAGTACAGCGAGTCTTCGTCGCGGTGCTCGTAGCCGAGAACGTGCACGGGCGTCCATCCCTTGGCGTTGGCTAAGTTTGCATTCGCGCCGCGTCTCAGTAGCAATTCCATCACCTCCGTGTGGTCGTCTTCTAAGGCTAGATGCAGCGGCGAATCGCCCCTTATTAGCTCGACGCAATTGGGATTCTGGCCGTGTTCGAGAAATTTCTCGACGAGGTCGCGATAGCCGAACTCGCAGGCCACATGAAGATGCGTGAGTCCATTCTTGTCGGTGTAGTTCACGTCGCATCGGTCGTATATTTCGAACAGCATGCGGGTGAGGTCGTGGCGTTCGCCGTGACACAGGTGGACGGCCGTCTGGCGATTCACCAGTGGCTTGCCCGCCGCGTTGTCGACCTCGGGCTCGTCCTTGTATCCGCAAGCGAGCACGAAGCTGAGTACATCCCTCCCAGCTCTCCTGCTTGTCTCGGTGACGCACATCTTGAGCAGCCAGTCCATCTCTCCACGACGAAACATTCTTCGAAGATCCGGATAAGGTCCCGTCCAATCTCCGATCAAGGAACAAAGTCTAGGAATGAGTCCGCCTCGACTTTCATCAATCTCAGCAGTGACCATTTGACGGATATCCTTCATCTTTAGCAGGTTCAGGGCTATCTTATGGTGATACGCGTATTCGGAATCGTAGTCGTACAGGCCTTCGCCTCGGGCACTGGCGTCGCCGAAATATGCGTCGGACTCGTTGTTGGACATTTTTCGCGTTATCACTCACACGCACGCAACACAATACACAGACAGTCGAATTAATGAAGTATTGTTTTCTCTTGATAACTCGCTGCAGTCAATTAGATCTTGATTTTGGGTGTTCACGCTGCGGCGTCGGAAACTCGTGTGTGCGAGCTTCGACGCGTCGTTGTTTGATTCAATATAGCCGTTACAAATGTCCGTAGCAGAAGCGAATACGAACCGACTTCGAGCATCGGCCAATCACAGCGCACAACTATACGAAGTCTACGATCGTCGCGCTCCTCGCTTGTTCTTTTTCACGGAAATCACAACGCCTAACATCGTCCCACGCATGAAAAAGTTTTCACATAAAAAAAACAACTTAGCTTACAGCTAATCGTCGTCATCGCGCGGGACGAAATAACTTCATTCGCTATTAGATAGGACGCACGTCGCGGTCTTAATACCGCGTGCGTACACGTAAAATGTAAAACAACAACGACGCACCTACGCAAAAACGAAAACACGTAGAAAATGATAAGATCGCGCACGCGTGTGTGTGTTAGGGTACGTATGTTGTTGGGGCTGATGTAACGCTAAGCACACGGCAACGAACGACGACGACGACAAAAAAAGTTATCCATCGAAGCGAGAAAAGAATTTTAAAATGCAACACGCGCGGCTGATCTTTTTATTCTTTCTCTTCTCGTATAGCCTCGGCGTATATTATATATGTACCGTACGGACTATCTTCTCAATAATTCATAAATGAGAGAGAGAGAGAGAGAGAGAGAGAGAAGAGAGATGGCTGCGAGCGCGCGAGAGTAATATGGATGAGGGAAAAAGGGACTCGCTCGTCGACGGAGCAACAGCAGCAGCAGCATCACATCTTGCTCACCTGTTTTTATCCGCATTCGCTTGCATCGCAGCCGCCGCGACGAAGACGTCTTAACTTCGCGACTTCGACGACTGCCTATACATCATAATAATCTTATAAATGTGTGTTGTGGTGCGGTGCGCGTATATAGTAGTATATGTAGTACGCGTTGCAATTCAGCCTGCACTCACACATACGAACATCCTATGTGTGTGTGTGTGTATTGGCATCTTTGGAATGAAACACTCACGCGCGCGCGCGCACGCGTGTAAAGAAGAAGACGTCTGACTTGGTCATCTTCGCGTTTCAACGCGTCCGAGAGAGACGAGAAAAAAAATCGTATAGAGGGTATCGAAAGAAAAGAGTTTTCGCGAGAATTTACAGTTTGAAGAGCTACTTTTTTTTCTTACATTTCTACTTGTAATGCGCATCGAACGCCTACGCATTCGTTACACTCGACGATTACTCTCATATACACGTTTTGGATATTATCTTTTTTTATCTCAGTTCGTATATCTGCGGGCGCACTTCGGATATAGCTATATAGCGCGGGGGTGCCAATAAATAATGTCTAGTTACGGTTACGTTACATGCAATACGTCTCTTCGAGCGTTGAGATAATATACGACCTTTCGTAATTTATCGTACCACCAATTTATACATTTCAAAACGCATACACGCGTGTACGTGTATGTGTATTATATATTTGCTTCTGCAGCCAGTCGAAGATTTCGCGCGCTTCGAGAGCTTCGGGGTAGTTGGACAGAACGAAAAAGAAAGTCATCATCGTTGTTATTATTATTTCTTTCCGTAGCTGCTGCAGGTACACGCATATATACATGTAAAAAGGTATGCGTGCATACGTAAACGTTACTTTGAGGCTAAAAACGTTTTCGTACGGTAACCCCCCCCCCCCCCNCCCCCCCCCTGGAAAACGGTACAGACATAAAAGTTGATGCCGCTGCTGCAGGTATATAAACTGCAGCAGCAGTTACAACGTGTACTTTGGCGCGCACGAGCTGTTGCTGCCGCTGCTGCGAGCTTGAATAGGATCTCTAATGATAAAGTATCAACTATCCACCGTACACGGGAGGAGGAACTCGTTCGCGGGGTATTTCCAATAGCGATTCGCAAAAAAAAAAACGGAGAAAGATCCGCAGGGAAATATGAATGGATAATGAATATTTATCCGATTTCCGAGAGCTCGTTATCCCAATTAGACCCGAGAGAGGGAGGCTGAATAAATAAGTTTTCAGCGCGCGTTGTTGTCCGACTCGTATAACGTCCTGAAGCGCGCGAGTATAAGCACGAAATCGACGCGGACGGAATTTAATACGCGCGAGTTTATATGTATACAGTAGTTTATACGGAATTGAGATTCGGGCGAGAATGAGAGAGAGGCGAGACGAGACGCGGCAGGACCACCCCGGCCCTCGACGAGTTAAGGTTTTTCGGAAACAGAGAGAAAGACGGAGAGGGCCATTATGTTGTATATATAACGCGTTCATGTGTGTCTGTTTGTCCGCATGCGCGTGTGAGTGAGAATCACGACATCTGTCAAAGAGCAGCAGCAGCGATCCTTGAGCGGTATTATAAAGTTTTTCGGGGCCAAAATTTGCCTTGGGTGCTCATTAATCTTGGAAAAAGCGTCAGTGGGCCGCAACGATAATGACGACGGTGGTGGGGTTTGATCATCATACTTTTGCCGGCTCTTAATAGCCGTTTTGGATTGTTATTACTCCTTTTTCCCAGCCTTAATTTGTTTTTTTCGTCAACTCTTTCGGAGCGTAAACAAACTCGCGTAATCTCCGATTTATTCTCACGAATCATATTATAGCCT